GGCTTGTTTTGTTTTGTTTGTGGAAAAAAAAAGACGAGAACAGTTGATATCGGCGGAGACTTTTGTTTGTATGTTGTTTTTTGTGGTAATTGTAGTTGTGAGTGGTAGGCAGAGAGCAAGTCCCCTCCCCCTCCAACTCATGCCTGTGCGCACACCCAATTTGTGAGTGGAATTTGTGAGTAGATGTGTAGCGGAGCCAAGAAGAATGATTGTGAGTTGTTTTTGGTGGTCAGTTATTGGCATCCGCTGTGCAGTGTCTAGAGGTTGTCTGCAGATTTCTGTGGTAGGTTTGTATGCGGGTGCGCGCGCATGATGGGCGTCCTAGTTGTGTGTGGCGGACGCCTGTTGGATAGTTAGTTGCGGGGAAGAGGTAAGTTGCTCAGAGTTTTGTATGGTGCTCTGGCCGGATCGGTAGTCCATGTGGAATCAGGCCGATGAAGGGCCCAATTCGAACTTGTTTAGCTCGTCAAGTTTGGCAAAGGCGGCCTGGAGTTCTGCGTCCAGGCCGGTGATGCGGTGTTTAAGAGTGGTGACGGCGGCGGCACGTTGCTGTGCATCGCCGTCGTGTTCGCCGACGAGGTGCCGGACCTTGGCCTCGGCCTCGGCGACGTCGTCGTGCTTGCTGCTGTTTGTGGTATGGGCAGGCCCATTGGTAGTGAGAGGCTGAAGCTCGCGCAGGCGGACCATCAGCGTCATGACGCACTGGTGGTGGTAATTATGTCGCGCCGTCACAAAGGCGCAGTCCTGCTTGGCCTTTGCGAGCTCGGCTTCAAGAGAACAGATCTGTTCGTTCTTGCTCGCCTCCACAGCACGGAAGCGGAGGGCGTCAGCCCAGTTCACTTCGCGCTGCTCCTCACTTTTTGCTGCACTCCAGGCTTTCAGCTGTTCCTGCTGCATGGAAATAACCGTGAAAGCCTTGCTGTAGTAACCAATCTGGTTGTCGACATACTCGCGAAATCTGACAACTTTCTTGCGGTCAATGTTGGCCCGCCGGCAGGCCTGCTCAGTGACAGACCGTGCGTGCTGCATAAATTCGCGTTCTCCCTCGGAGAGTGCGATGAAGTAGCCATTTAATTCCTCGAGCTCCTGCTCTTGCTTGGAACACTGGCCTTTCAGAATTTGTCTCTCCCAAAAGAGGCGCACGTTGCGACACTGAAGATCTCTGACCTTCTTGCGCTCGTCTTCAAGCTTCTTGTGCTCATCAGCACACTTGTTGCAGTTGTTGAAGACGAGAGGGTCACGTATTCCGGGGCTGGGGGCCGCGACAGGCCGCGGTACTTCGGGCAAGAAGCTTGGCGAAGTAATAACGCCGCCCGGTGGCTCAGGGTAAGGCCGGTTGTAAGCTCCGGGGCTCTGGCGCGGGCTGGAGTCCCGAGGCCAAAAGCTGCTGAAAGGGGAGGAATTCGAGGAAGGCATACTAACAGAAGGAGTATGCCTGTGGGGGTTTTCAAGAGAGTACTTCTTGTTGGCGGGATGTGTGGAAGCAAAGTATCATGGGTGGTACTTTGAGTGGTCTTGATCTTGAAAGTAGTTTGGGGCAGTGAAGTGTGTAACTTGGAAAAGATGATGAAGACTTGACAGTGTGAAAAGATGTTGATGGGAATGTATGGGAGGGAATGCGAGAGAGGTAAGAGAAGTCACCTTCTCTCATGCCCAATAAACAATGGCAACACCTCTCTCGCAAAGCCCTCCCATCCCTGCAAAGGCCTCAAGTTTTGTGGCTAACTTTGACTTTTCCTTAACATTGAGAAATTGAACGGGAAAGTTTTGCGGCGGAATGAAAAGGAGGGATGGCGGTTTAAATAGGTGCAAGAGATGCAGGGTGTAACATGGAAGATTCCGACCGCATGTCGAGGCGTACACCCATGAATATTGAAGCCACCTGGAGTGACTCTTCACGAGTGAAAAGTTTGCTGGCCAAGTGAGACAAAAGATGTGTTACTCCCCAAGGTATGGCAATGGAGAGAAAAACCGTATCGAAATACGAAGTGTAACATGAACAAGTATGACAATGGGGTCAATGTTTATGGCTTCAGCGAATCAAGACTTCTTATGGGCCAGCTCTTCACAGAAGGGATTCACAGACCTGGTAGGACAATCAGCTGCAGTGGATGCCGAAAAGCGTAATGATACCGAGCACAAGTTTGCCATAAAAATTATGTCCCTGTTGGGAACTGGTCGTACATGGAGAGTGAAAAAGGCATCAGCGCTTGATGTGTTTGTGAATAAGCCCCTTGGTGGCCGAGATATTAAAATGGCGTCGCCACTTCAGCCACATGGGCTTATTCCAGCGACAAGATCTCTGTCATCGGGCCAATACAGTGTACGGTTGTAGATGATCATGCGGAGAAGAGGCGCCTCGCTGGGTCTGGATGATTAGAGGGCAATTGCACAACAGAGATTGCTGAAATTCCAAGGTCTCAGATAAGAGGTCTGATTTTCGAAATAAATATATCATTATAGTTTCCACAAAAATCCTGGATGAGTCCAATCCATGTCTTCGATCTCTTGCTGCGTCTTGCCTCGAAGCTTCTCGTCGATGTCGGCGCTTCGCCTCTTGTTATTATCAGCCTTTAGCCACAACAATGTGAGTGCGCTGATAATTAGGACGGTACTGGCTGCGGCCAGGTTCAGGCCATTGCCAATGCGATAATCAGGCGAGTCAAAGGGTAAGTACGACCAGCCGCTGATGAGACCGCCAATGTTGCCAAACATGACATTGGTGCCGATAGCGGCGCTGCGCGCAGTGTCACCCTCCACATTGGCGGATACCTGCGCGTTTGTGAGAGCACCAAGGGAGAATGCAGAGGAAGCAATGAGAAAGGTGGCACCATATCTCACGGATGGATCCTGGACGCCGAGGAACACAGCATAGCCAATCATGACGAGCGGGGCAGAGAGGATGAAGAATATTTGGCGTCGGTCGATGCGCCAACTGATGAGGGGAAACAGCACGGTGAAGAATGCTCCTACGACGTAAGGAGGCACTGTAAAGAGCTGCTTCTGTATCAGGCTCTTGTCCTGGTAGATTGTGGCGACAATGGTTGGGGCGAAAAAAGCAAGACCCTGCACAGTAATGTTGTTCAGTAGAAAGACAACTGCAGTACTCAGTGTGACTGGGTTCAGTATGCCACGCTTGAGCTTTTTCATGTCGATTCCATCCACTGCCTGCTTGCTGCCAACGCGTTCGGACTGGACCCTGGCTACGGCAAGCCTCTTCTCTTCTGGGCTAAGCCAGACGGCTGTTTCAGGGCGATCGGTGAGCGTGAGGAAAGCGATAATGCCAAGGCCAGTCGTGATAATGCCCTCGATGGCGAAAATCATGCGCCAGCTCTCCAAGCTCCCAAAGCTGTTCAGCTTGAGGATGGCAGTGGCCAAAAGTCCCCCGAAAGCGCCAGCGAGCGGTGCCATGACAATGTACAGGGACAGACGAAAGGCTAGCTCGGCTCGTCGGTACCAGCGGGAGAGATAGTACGCGGTACCGGGCATCATGCCAGCCTCGAATATGCCGAGAAGGAAGCGTACGCCGGCTGCCTGCGGCACCGTCTTGACAAAGGCAGTACCCACGGAAGAGATGCCGAACAGCACCGTCAAGAGCGGGATGAACCAGCCAGGGCCAATCCATTTGCACAAAATATTACAGGGGATCTCGAAGAGAATGTATGATATGTAAAAGATGGAGATGATCATGTTGTAGTCGTAGCCTTGCATGCCGAGGTCCCTGTCCATACCGGCAATCCTGGCATTACCTGCGAGATGTCAGCACGGGCATCGCAACGGTGAAACGTGATGCAAACGAGCACTCACCAAGGTTGGCGCGATCAATGAAACAGAACATATAGAGTATTGCGACAGTCGGCACTATAGCTAGATCGATTTTCAGTCGCAGCCGGCTTTCGAGCTTTGGATCAAAGTGCACAGAATCGCCATTGCTGGAGCCAAAGTTTATGTTAGGCCAAATCGAGTAGATGAGCATGTGCCAAGAACGTACTCTTCAACGGCCATGTTCACATGCTGAGAGACTGCGTGCGCAGGCGCACCTTTGAGGCTATCAGAGCCAGCGGCGGAGGAGTCGCGCTGATCTTGGTTCATCTTGTCGACGGCCAAAAAAAAATATGCTATGGATGGAAGGCCTTCGAGAGAGGCGGGGAGTCAATTAATATAGCTGCGGGCATGGCGGGTGGCCACCAGCACAGCCGTTCAGAAACAACGATGAGAAGAGATGGTGCAGAGATGAAGGCTAGCGAGCAAGATTCCCCAATGGCGATCCCTTGGGGGGGTGGCGAGGGGAGCGCGAGTCGACAGTGTGAAAAGTGAGGATATATTTGCGTCTGCAGCCTAGGGTCCTGGGGAACTGGGGTCCGGGGTCCTGGGCACGGTGGGATAATGCCTGTTAGGCTTTAGCGCACACTATGTAGAGTGGAGCTGACGGTTGCAGGGTTTCCCGCGTGGATCTTGCTTTCTACCGGCAAGGGTAGCTATTTCAAGTATGTAAAACTTGTTCGTATGTCGATGATAAATTAACGATCACCAACAAGATGTAAGTACTGCGCTGGTCTGCGTATCTATCGTTGATGTATTCATCTGCTATATCTTTCTGTAGGCTTCCACAGCTCTAGGGTGGCTGGGTGGTCATGACAGGTCGTAACAAGTTCTTGCGCTCCCCAGAGACCGTACCTTGTTACAGGCGGGGCTTTAGCGTGTATAGCATGGCGATGGGATCACCTCATCACCTCGATGCCCATTGTGGCCGTCGTAATTGGTCCAAGTAACGGATACCCCGAGATGGGCCAAGAATAAGACAAATCTCGAAATCGACTATCAAATGACTTTGTTATCTCCACTTCCTAGCTGTAGCCTGTAGGTGCCTGTTCGCGCGAGGGGTATTTTTCGACATAGCTATAATACCCTGTCACATAGAAAATGTCTTTTTGCTGTCTAGTGAGACTGCCAGAGCATCTGGCACGTGTAGGAGCTAACATAGATTTATTCTGACATATCTGAGCGACTTGACAGTGTTACTAGACGGCAAGGAGACATTACAAACGGGAGACGCTGTACGGAGTAGGGGCTATGTTAGAAAACACCAGACACGCAACCTTCGCGACGATACCAATAGAGTATGTTCTAGCCTCATGGTCCCTAGCAATTGGTGAATGAACATTTAACAGCACATGTCACATATTCGTCACGTAGCGGCGGTATCCCGCCCGCGCTAGTAGTAGTCTCCCTCATTTCTTTCGGCAAATTGCATCGGCAGAATGGCTTTGAAATCCGAATCGACGTTATTCTTTCGAGGTTTCACTTGATGAGTACCACCCTACACTCCCCAGGATGTGCATCCCGTCGGAAAATTGTTATGCAACTCAAACACCTTAAAAGAAGCAGTCTTGTTTCCAGAACATCTAATCTGTACACTGAGTCAGCTTGGCGGTCCTCATCTGTCTGAAGCGCAAGTGCTTCGTCAGCTTCACTGGCGAAATACGGCCCCCACGTCGCCAATGTGACCCTCCAAGAATGAAAGGACCAAGCTTGGCAACCAACAGCAAACTAGCACGGACTCTACTAAACGGCGTTGCAGATCAGGAAATGTCGAACCATGTCTGAATCGTGCATTTGCGTGGCCAGTACCGAGTATTGTTGGTGGCTTGGGCGGCACTTGCATGCCACAGCAACCAGTAAGGTGCTGTGACGCCAGCCACCAATCAGGAACCGAGAAGGGGAGAAGGTGCCCATTTTAGCCCCTATTTTCCACACCAATGCAGGTACCTTCTCCCCAGGACCTTTCTTCAAGAGTTAGACACAATACAATAGAATTACGTTGCCCAAAACCTTGTGCCTACCCGTCACACATATGTGCCTCTGATCAGCTAATCGTAAGCCCAGAGACTCATGCTGAAAATAGAAGCCACCCGCATGATGCTGGCAATTCACCTCGCTTAACTAGATCCGCCAAGCACAGCGCTGACGTACTGCCGCACAGGCATCTGGACTACCGACACACTGGCGAAGTGGTGTTCGACGTACCGACGAGCGATCGCAATGTCATTGTCCACTAACCGCCCTTCTCTTTCCTTTGGTCGCCCTGTTACCGCCAGAAGTTCTACATGTCAACAACAAGCTCGATTCAGTCTGCAACAAAGTGACTAAGTTCAGTGTGGCATTCTTCGACGGCCCTACGGAGACTTTTGATGCCTTGGTTGGCGCCGGAGGCATCTTTGGATCTGTTCGCAAATACGCTCTCCAAGATGGCGTTTCAGCCGACGCCACCACATCGCCTAGGCTCTGGGACCGCCAATATCTGGTGCCGTTCGAAATGCCGAACAGAGACTTGGCGCTGAGAACCTTAACGAAACAGTCGACGGTATGGGATTTCATCATGCACAACGTCCTGAATCGCGGCGAGACCGCATAGTGCGCCATATTCGGCATCGAGAATCATCAGTCAGAGGACTGCAGCCGGTCTGTGACACGCTCGATTCTTGAAGCGGTCCTTGTGTCTTGGCTCGATCGACCTATCGCGAGCCACATGGCGAGCCGTACGTCAGCGCTTGTACAGGCGGAAATGGTAATCGAGGATATTGCCAGTTCAAAAATTCGATCAAGTGCGACGGCCGTGCGTCTATAAAATCATTGACTGGAGCAAAGCCACGCGTATGTCTATGTGCTTTTAGGGCCCAGCCGCTTTGCTGATGCGGACGCCATGCGTGGTCTACTGGTGGAACGCTGGGTATGTCAAGAATTTTGACATTGCCGAAGAAACGGTCGAGGACGTGTCGCAACTCAGTGAGACGAAGCACTGTGAGACGATATGATGAGATGGCCGTAAAGACCTGTGGCTGTATTATGAGTACTTTCTGTCCCATTGACCGAAACACCATTTCTATATTATGATTTACAAGGACTCGACTTTGATGTTCGTGGAAATATTGCCCTGCGTCGCGCGGCTATACGGGCACGTTTTCTTGGTCTCCTCCACCAGCTTCTCCAGCTCCCCCTGCTCGACGCCCTTGACCTTGACGAGCATCTCGACCCGTAAGCCCAGATCCGCCTTCTTCAGGTCGCCCACCATGTGAACCGTCGTCTCGATGACGCTGTCCTCGGTCTTGGACGGCATCTTGATGCCAAGCTGCGAGGCGACCAGACCCATGGCCGACTGGAAGCACGCGCCATAGCCGGCCGCGAACAGCTCCTCCGGGTTGGTCTTGCCGGGGCCGCCGGGGCCACCGAGGCCCTTGGGCATGCCTAAGTCCATCTTGAGGCCCTCGCTTCCTTCGACGTGGCCATTGCGGGCGCCAATGGTTCGGGCGTGGGCAGAGTAGAGCACTGGCGCGTTGTCGGTGTTGAGAAAGCGGCGGGGAGCGGCGGCGGCGAGAGGCGCTCGGCGCAGAAGGGGGCGGATGACTCTCGATATGGACATGGTGAAGTGTGATTGTTACAAAGTGTCCTAATTTTCTGTTCGAAGCGCGGCCAGCTCATTCAAGTACCAAAATGCAGATGATAACTTTTCTACAAATCAAGGAGCGGCTGCCCGATTGTTGGTCTGTTTTATAGTGAGTGCATCATGACGTCAACGAGAGTCCCGATCCGCCGACAGGGAGGCAGCGATCGAAACAAGTCGCTGAGCAGACAGAGATCTAAATGAACCAATCGAAATATACCGATTCTCAGTCCACTATCACCATCGCGAATTGTGCGTCTGCAGATGCCTACACTTACACGGTGGTGTTTTGATTGTTTGGCCACGCCCCACCATACTGCAGAGAGATGCACGGTATCTCAAACCATTCTTACTGCGCATGCTGCGGGGATCCTTGGTTCGACCTCGTTCTTAAATCCAGTCTCGGCAAACGTTTTGAATTTACTGTTGAATCTGGCCCGTATTGGTCGCATTTTGAGGCGTGCTTGCGCAAGAGCCGCCATACGAAGGAAGCTGGGCTTCATTAATTGTCGGTCTGCTTTGCAGGTTTTGTCGGCCAAAAAGTGGAGAGAATCTGCTTTCAGCTAATCAAAAAACTCAGGCACAAGCAAAAAGCTAATCTAAGGACAGGTCATAACCTCAAATAACGCGCCCGTAAACAGCAGACGCAGAGAATTCTACAAAAATCGCAAAAGTCTAAGCTTTCATTCTCTCCTTTTTCAGAGCACCAGTTAGGGGCTAGTGGCTAAGATTAGTGATTAGTGGCTAGGGATCAGGGTTAATGGTTACAGACAGGGTCATGATATGTGTGTTAGGTACTTTGATGGCCCCGATTTACGGCTGACAAAACCTGTGCAATAGGCCGACAATCAACGTCGCCCAAGGCAGCTGGGTTGCTAGAGTTGCTAGAATGCATGCATCAACTCTTAAATTGATACGGAGTAGGCACTAGGTGGGATGCGGGATGATTCATCAAGGAACCGGAGGGGCTGCTGCCGTGTCCGGGATTACATCTTCCAGGGGTTCGCCTTATTATCGCAGGGCGCTCAGGTCGGATGTCGGGCGGTGCGGAGATGAAAGGGACCATATATTATGTGAATAAGCTAGATTGTTGCTGATGAGCGCCTACAAAAGGTGAGGAGTGATTCGCTGGGAGGTCGGCGCAGCGCATTGATCATGATCGCGTGGTTGCTTGGAAATATAAGGTTTGTGATTGGTCGACTGGATCCATAGGCTCATTGCAACCAATCACAACATCGCCAATAAGACCATCCAAAGTCAGCAACTCGGGCGATCGAAAGCCCTGTGGATCTTTGGTTTAGGTATAAAGACGTCACTGTCGAACTTGTAACATAGGGTCATTATATCAATCATACCAGAAACACATTCAGCCCTTTGCAACTTTCAATCTACCATCAACAACCGCTCTACTCCCGAGATTCTTCTCCTCGCAACTACCAACCTTCACAATGACTGCTTTCAAGGCCTCCACTTGCTGCCGCCAGGGCGACGCCAGCGCCTGTGCTTGTGGTATGTCGACCTGGCTCAATTCGATCTTCAACCCACAATACTAACTACTTTGCAGCCCAGCAAGCTACCTGCAGCTGCGGTCAACGCCCTGCTCTCCACTGCAACTGCGACAAGGCCGGCGCCGAAAACTCCATCCAGACCGGGGCTCGCTGCTCGTGCCGCGCGCGCCCTGCCGGTGAATGCACCTGCCAGCGCGCCGCCGCTGAAAACACTCGCCCTTCCGGTGCCACCTGCTCTTGCGGCCTCCGATCTGCCGACGCCTGCACCTGCGAGAAGGCCTCTGACGGCGGCTTCAACCCCGCCAACGAGATTGACTTCACTACGCGTAAATAGAGAAATGTGCACTTGCACTACAAATTTCATTTCGATTTGGACGTCTAGTTTGGGAGGGTTGGTACGGAGCATTGGCGTTTCAGGGCTGCTTTTTATTGAACGTGCAAGAAGGAACACTCAGACTGCTCTTGGACCTCACTCGACGGGCTCCCACAGTCGCACATGGGTTGGGCTTTTCAGCATTTACATACGGCGTGGGAACAACAGGCAAGGGTAAAACTAGGAACGGCATCAATACCCACAAGTAGCCATGTTTGGACGGCGCATCTCACAAAATAAATTAATCGTTTCACATCTGTTTTCTTCTACTCGAAGTGGAAATAGTGTGTTGGTTCAACGTGACGCCCGATGAATAAATACTCGGCAGCGGTTGGAAGCAATGTCTCGGATACAAGTTACACATCCGTTCACTGGCGTTCACCGCCCGGCGTTACGAGGCGATTCTGCCAGACACTAACAGCGAAAGTTGCGAGGGCGGTCAGAGCTTGGTCAGCCGCCCGGTGCAACATAAGCTGGACAACATTAAGCTCAAAAGCTCAAAAGTGGCGCCAGCTCCCAGCGCGCATTTTCGTCGTTCACAGCCCGCAAGAATCAAGCTTTCCAGCCTCCTTCCGTCAAGCGCGCCTTGACTTCCAGTTTTCTCTCTTTTCCCAACCTGGTCTTTACCTTGCTGACAGTTCATTCTACTTTCGCTCCATTTTTTGACCGCAAACCATTCCTTTTGACTTGCTTTTTCCTCTTCGTGCACACTCGGTCTTGTTGCTTGTTGTCTCGTCACCCGCCCCCCTCGAGACAAACTTTACCGGTCGAGCCTAGCCCACGGCCCCCTTTCTAGAGATATCTATTTCCCTTCCTTCCGTCAAGATGCCAGCTGCAAAGAAAGCGTCTGCATCCGCAGCCTCGACAAAAAAGCTCGCCGCCTCGACAAAAAAACCCGCCGCCTTGACAAAGTCCGCAGCCACGACGAAAAAGCCCGCCCAAAAGGTCGCGCCGGCAAAGACTGCTGCCAAGAAAAAGATGGAATCCGCACCGGAGCCCAATGGCAATGCCACCGCATCTAGAAAGCGTAAGGCTTCTGTTGAAGCGACCGCCGAAGTTGAGCGCACAAAGAAGGTCAAGTCGGAAACGCCCGCCCCCCGAACAATTGCCGTGCCCAAGCCCAAGAAGGCTTTCCCCGACATTGGCAAGATCATCAATGAGGTCCCTGATCAGGTTCTCGATGTCTACGTGTTTGGAGAGGGCACCTCGGGAGAACTCGGCCTGGGTAGTAAGAAGGTGAATGGCAAAAAGCCCATTGACGTGAAGCGACCACGTCTCAACGATAACCTTGACGCCAAGTCAGTAGGTGTGATTCAGATCGCGTGCGGTGGCATGCACGTTGCTGCCTTGACGCACGACCATAAAATCCTTACGTGGGGCGTCAATGATCAGGGCGCTCTTGGACGCGACACAACCTGGGATGGTGGCCTCAAGGACATGGACGGCAACGAATCCGACTCGGACGATGACGATGACGACACCGGCATCAACCCAAGTGAAAGTACCCCTACAGCCGTCGGGGAGGAGTTCTTTGCGCCCGGCACCAAGTTTGTTCAAATCGTCGCCAGCGACAGTGCCACCTTTGTCCTGACGCAAGACGGACGCGTCTACGGCTGGGGTACTTTCCGCTCCAGCGATGGTGTTCTTGGCTTTACGGAATCTATCAAGATTCAACTGCGTCCTATGCTCCTTCCAACCCTCAAGAACATCACCTCTCTTGCTGCCGGGTCCAACCATATCCTGGCGCTAGACACTAAGGGCAACGTTCTTGCATGGGGCTGCGGCCAGCAAAATCAGCTCGGCCGCCGCATTATTGAACGGAACAAGATGTCATCCCTCACCCCTCAGGGCATGGGGCTCCCCCGCGGCAAGATCTCCAAAATTGCTTGTGGTGGTTACCACAGCTTTGCCCTGGACAAAAACGGCAAACTCTGGGGCTGGGGCCTCAACAACTTTGGCGAAATCGGTGTTCAGTCGAACGCTGGCGAAGATGATGCAGTCATCCTCAAGCCCGCCAAGTTGACCGATCTCGATGACCATGTCATCACTGATATGGATGGTGGAGTTCACCATTCGCTTGCCTGCTCTGATCAGGGTAAGCTCTTCACCTGGGGCCGAGTCGATGGTTATCAGGTTGGGTTCGAGTTTGACGAATTAGAAAAGGAGGATGTTATCTTCGACGAGAGAGGCGCTCCCAGAATCCTGGTGAAGCCAACCGTCAATCCCGAGGTCTCGAACATCTGCGCTGTTACTGCGGGGACTGACAACAGCTTTGCCATTTCCAAGGACGGCAAGGCGTACTCGTGGGGTTTCTCCAGCAACTACCAGACTGGCCAGGGCACTATTGAGGATATCAAGACTCCTACCCAGATCGACAACACTGCTATCCGTGGAAAGCAGATCATTGGGGCTGGTGCCGGTGGCCAATTTTCCGTGCTCTTTGCCAAGGCTGAGGATCAGACCAATGACTCCAAGACGAACGGCGCTCACTAAAGCGCGGCAATCAGTTTGTCTATCGAACAAGAAAAGCGAGCATACAGCCGCATGTATAATCTGGGCATTTTCATCTTACTATGTCATTTTGCTGAATTGGATTTCATTGTTTTTGCGTTAGAATGCTTGGCAGATGCTGACGGCGAGAGAGCTGGTTCTCGTCCGCACAGTCACCTTTCTTAATCGCTTAGCCTGTTTGCCTTTTCTTATTGTTTATCTTACTTTGTGAACTCAGGGTCATGAGGTATTATTGTTCATGGGGAGGTGAAAGCACTGGGATGACGGAAAAGAAAACGAGTTCGGATGGGATGGTCTTTGCCACGAGATATGTTTGGGGCCGGCCCATACACACATAGAAAGATAACCAGAGTTGCATCTTTACATTGTTTCACTTAACCGTAACAGAAGATTGGGTAGACGGTTAATTTCATCACTAAGCGCTCAACTGTTGTTATAGTCATTCTCAAATGTATACTGATAAATTCTGAACATCCGAGTAATTGCAAAGTTATCTGACACGGCTATTACGGGAACACTGCAGAACAAGCTCTGATACTGCTACATGTATCCGCGGTTAAATCTTTGACATAAGGCGATTTTGATGTGTCTTCCTGCCGCTGTCTACCCAGCATCCCAACCCAAGCGTAATCGATTCCATTACAAAGAAAATTTTGCCCTCGCTATGCGCCCAAATGCAAAATTACACCGTGTATATCCCCTGCTATCGTAGTGCTCGAGATATTCGTCGACTCCGGAAAGGGTAGGGCAATAGCCGACTTTTCGCTCCCTATCATCTTCTCTTAACACGTGAGGAAAGAGGCTCTCAGGAATTGTTGAGCTTGGCCGCCGCGTTGGCGAGGGAACCGCTACCACGGCTGCTAAAGATGCCCATGATACCGAAACCGACGTAGAAGAGGGCGAGAGGGTAGGCGACGAGGGCACGCATGCCCTTCATGCGGCCGACGGCGCAGAACATGCCGCTGGCGCTGTAGGTGCTCCACATGATGGCGAAGCTGGTGACGATGATGCCGAGCGGGGTGTCCATGGGCATGACGACGCCAAACATGCTGGTAACGACGAGCGGCAGGAGGCAGTAGCCCAGAACGGACGCGGAGCGCGGAAATGTCAGCGTGGCTGAGAAGTGGCCGCCGTGCTGGGACGAACCTTGGCTGGGCGGGGGCGCCTCGCCGCCGTACGGGCCGTGGAAGGAGGAGGGGCCGTCGTCGCCAGCGGGAGACATAAGGGACAGGATCATGTGAAGTGACGTGGAGCCGAGGAGGGCGAGGCCGTAGATGTAGCCAAAGTGGACCTTGCCGGAGAAGAGCAGAAAGAAGCCAAAGAGGAGGAAGAAGAACATGGGGCCAAACAGGTCCGAGTCGTCCATGATGTGCTGGTCAATGTGTCGAAAGGGATTCAATACCGCCAGCGTCTGGCAAGTCGCAGATTAGTAGGACGAATCTCTCTCTCGTCGTCGCGAAGACGTACCTTGGATTGAATGTGACCAAAGTTGACGCCCAGCTCCTCCAGCAGCGGCGGCTCTCCGTCGTAGCCCTCTGTGGAAAAGGCTGCCAGCCAGCCGGTGCGCAAGCCGCCGTGCTCGCCCATGCGGCCCGAGACGCCCGCGCCGCCGAAGCCGCCCGATGAGAAGCCGTTTTGCGCGGCGCTGCCCCCAAAGCCCACGCTGCCGCCGACGCTGCCGCCCGTGAAGCCGTAGGCCGCCTGCTGGGGCGTCGCGGCGCCCGAGACGCCCACGCCCGGCGCATAGGTCGAGGGGTAGAACTGGAGATTTTGCGCGCCGCTGCTGCCGCCCGCGTCAGCGCCGTAAGGGGGAGCGGCGTTGCCCTGCCCGTAGTAGTTTGACATCGTGGTCGTTGCGGCTCGGTTGTGCGCGCTATGGATCGTGGGGTTGGTAGATGAAATGGGCTTGATCCGATCGATTGGGAGGAAGAGATTGGTGGAGGGTTGCTCGCTGGGGGCGGAAGCCGAGATGGAGATACGAGACACTGCTGCCACGGTGTCGAGGACAGCTTGCGAGTGTTGGACTCCTGAGCTTGCTGGTGGTGAATGTGGCCAACTAAGTTACCTACCTCCTACCTACCTAACTAGCGACCTCAGCTTCAAGACCCACATGCGCTCAAGTCGCTGCCTGTGAGGGACACGCTACACAGACCCGGTGGTTATGACAACTACCTGGCCTCAAATCGGAATCGACAGGTGCAATCAATATCAATATATCGTCACGCAGTGGACCGATTAATTCTCGCTCACCTCACATTTTTGTTTAGAAAACGCGAGGTACGACCAGTATCGATTTGCGAGTATCTTCGACTAGCTTCATTATAGCATCATACATTCTACTGAGTATCGCTCCAAAGTCTGTTAGGACATCCAAGCCGATAATTTGGCGTCACCCGACAATTCACTTTATTTGCGTTTAGCGGCCAGAGAAGCGGCAGTTGCTCTGGAGCTCGCAGAAAACTTGTCGTAATCCTGTGCCAGCTCAGGAAACGGTTTTAGAATCTCCATGACCTGGGCACGAAGCTCCGCAACACGTGCTTCATTATCTGGCTTGGACATGGCCGCTCCCAATTCGTGTGAGGTTTGCATTACTGTATCGAAATCTACTTTGCGGAGAGTAGACTGCAGCGTCATTCAGAGTCAGACAAGTAGATAGTGACTGGATCAAGACGTGCGAACCTGGCATTTCTGACCATAGCGGGCCACAAAGAACATTGTATCATTTGCATATTCCGGAACTCCAAGTAACGCGTCGTTGAAGTCATGCGCGCGCTTCGCGCCGTCATCAGTCGACATTTTCACGATGTTCGAGCTCTTGTCTCATGGCAGATTCCTTGTTGATGTTGCCAGTGAGGCGAGGTTGCGCCACGCGCACTTCCCACTGTGACCCACACACCTGGGCTGAAGGGTCTCACAAACTCCCTGATAAATCGTCCTACGTTGGCACGCTTTTGTCTAACTGTTCTTTCTTTTACTCATTGCAGAAAAATCCCTCAAAATCTGTGCAATAAGACTCTACTGCTCCAACTTCTGTATCAACGTCGCATATCGGCAGCGTGCCTTTCGCGTTGCAGACGAAAGAAAGATATCTTTGATGAGTCAGCAGTGATCAGCACTTACCTTTCCGATTTAGTGACTTTTTTTTTTCGGCGCCAAAATTTGTCGTCGTCAAGTCGCGAACAGTAAACGTTGTTTTATCCGTCACACACACTGTGCTGCAACGCAACAGGCTCAATATGCCGCGCAATCCTCCGAACCGCCGCGATGGCAACAGTCGCGGGTCGGATAATGGTCGTAGACCCCCAAGTAGTCGCTTTCGACCTCGCGACGAACAGTCGAGAAATGGCGACAGTTGGCGACCCGATAACTCATACCCCGATAGAAGCGGCCGCGGCGGTTCCAGGCTGAGAGCTAATAGTTATCGGCCTTCGCAGCCCAGCCGCTTCCATCCGCCACCTCAAGGTGATTTCACATTTCGTATGGATAAGCCTGCTGGTGTTGGCGAGTCTAGTATCGGTGGCTATGGCCACCGACGTGATGATCGGCGAGACCAGCGTCGTCCTCAAAGAGGTCGCTCAACCCGGCGATGGCAGCCTCCACCCCCTCCATCCGAGCGTGCGCTGATATCCGGCGCAACCCTGAATTTGCCCGAGGAGCGAGTCGACGGTGTCGATGGGCCCAATAAGTTCCGCGACCTGGACGAGCTCTCAGACGATGATGAACTTGCCATGGACATATCATCTCACTCTGAAGATGAAGATGAGGGAACATCGGCGAAAAGACAGCGCACAGACGCAGCCGAGGAGAGTGGTGCAGAGGTGCCCAAGTGGTCCAATCCAGATCCCTATACTGCACTGCCTTGTCCTGATGACACAACCAAGAAGAAGCGTGACGTCGTCAAGTTGATTCGCAAAGCCCGTATGGAGGGGAAGGAACTAGCAGGCACGCCGTCACAGGCTGAAGACTTCTTGTCCTTTGACCCAACCGATGATGAAGATGAAACTAGCGAGGAATCTGAATCTGAAGCCGAGGCAGATTATGAGCCACCGCCACCTGCTCTGCCTACCGAGCCAGCGTCTGCGAAGAGTGCTTTGTCACAATCACTACCGCCTCGGCCGCCGGCACCCCAAGCTAATCCCTCGGGTAGCACTTCTGACCCTCTAGGATCGCGAAAGCGAACTATTGATGATGAGATCAAGCCACCCAACTACGGGCAATTCAAGAAAGTGGGCGCGAAACCTGCCAAAGGTTCCGTCGCCTCTTCGTGGCTGACGAAGAGAGGTGAAGACCCTTGTCCTTGGGCGACGGTAGATCACACTAAAACATCGGATATGGCGTTTCGCCTTCACAAGGAAGTCATAGATTTCTATGAATACGTCCGACCGCGACAGTTTGAGCAACGCATTCGAGATAATCTCGTCGACAATCTGAAACAGGCCATGAAACGAGAAGGAAGAAATTTTGCCAGTGCGCACGTCTTTCCATTCGGCTCATTCATGTCAGGTTTATATCTTCCCACCGCGGATATGGATATTGTTGTCTGTTCTGCGAGCTTTATGCGAGGCGGGCCGGCAACCTACCTTGGTGCCAAGAGTTGGCTGTACAAGTTTCAAAAGTTCTTGGTCGCTCAGAGAGTGGCTGACGCCGATGCAATCCAAGTCATCGCACATGCACGCATACCTCTGGTCAAATATGTCGACAAAATGACTGGTTTGAGAGTGGATATCTCGTTTGAAAACCTTGGCGGTGTAAATGCCATTGAAACCTTTGTCAAGTGGAAGCAGCTATACCCCGCCATGCCTATCCTCGTCACTGTCATCAAGCACTATCTGCTTATGCGCGGCTTGAATGAACCAGTAAATGGTGGCATCGGTGGATTTTCCGTCATTTGCTTAGTGGTAAGCATGTTGCAATTACTGCCGCAGGTTCAAAGTCGAAGTCTTGTGCCCGAACATCATCTGGGAGAGATGTTGCTGGAATTCTTTTATCTTTATGGACATCAATTCGATCACGAGGTGAATGCTATATCTCTCACGGAGCCAGTTGGCTATATCAGAAAGGCAAGTATCTATCAGACCATATCACTGGAACCAAGGCTAACATTTGAATAGTCCGCCGTCCGCTCATTTACCTACAAGAGCACCGACAGGCTTTCAATCATTGATCCAAACAACTCTGAAAACGACATTTCTGGTGGCTCCTCGAATGCAGTCACTATTCTTGCACGCTTCGGCGACACATACGACCATCTACGTCAAAGAATGAAAGAAGTCGCAAAGGACCCGTCCTGCGGCGGCATACTCGACGTTATTATGAAGGGCGACTACTCCTCCTTTCAAATGCAGCGAGATTTTCTCAAGAAGGTTCACGAACAGTTCCTCGGTCCTTGCTCAGACTGAACGAGCAGACCAGAAATTTACGACTTTGCTTCACTGTACAACTATTCACGCTGCAACTTAAGCAACAGGAGCTGACCAGCAGCTAATACTAGACACGGCTTAGGTTTGGTACGGTTATCAAAACCAGGAGTAAGGAAAGGAGACTAGGCGCTCGGACGTTGTACTGTATTATTCGGATGCTGGCTTCTACTGCTACACGGTCGACTTGTACCTGTTGTTGACCAAACTTCGGTTCCTTTTCGCATTCTTCGATACCCATGGGTTAGCATTGTGGGACAATCGCTCGGCAAGAAATTTCACGATGACATTATTTTTCCACTGTCCTTTTACCTGTCTCTTACCCACTAACCTCTGCAGTGACACGCGGTAGCGCTGATATTCATTGACCTCCTCCTGTTTTAGGCTTGTCTCTATCTTTTGAAGAAACCTCAACAAGCCTAGATTCTAGGTTGTTGCTGCCGTTTTTTAGAGATTATCTATAGTGGCTCCCAGAGCCACACATTTTTCTCTCACTGCACTCCTTGCTACATGCATGGGTGTGGGGAGGGAAGCAGCGATGCGGGCAATCGCCTGTTCCTGAGCTGAGCTTGGTATCCAGTATGTTGGGGTATGACATTGGCCTATGATGACACCGCCATCCATAGCTGTGCTTTCCATGCAACAAGACATTGTACAGTTCTGTCACCGTCTAGTGACCGACTTTTTGCAAGAGAGGGCGCTCGGACTTGTTGATACTGGCTTCGATACTCGCTCGTGTCAAGTGGCACTGTTCATTTCTGTGCATGGACATGCCAGCCTTTAACAGTGCCGCGGTGGCAAGCTCTCCCGTCAGGTTGCCTCAAAGCCCCTGAGGCGGGAGAAGGCGGCGGCGAAGCGCTTGAGGTTGGCTGCAGAGAGGGAAGCGCTGACAGAGGGCACGTGGAAAGGTTTCTGGTAGGTCGAATCGCTAGTGCAGAGCTCGACGTGCATATCCTGCAGCGCGTTGACGAGGAGGAGGGATGTGTTCTCGATGCCTTCGGCGGAAGAGGGGCTGAAGTCGGGGATGGGGGTGAAGGGGTCTCCGTTGAGGGAGAGCATGGTAATGTCATAGGCGCCGTCAAAGTTGAACAGAGGATCATCGAGCATGGAGGCGTAGTCCCACGGCCATAGCTCCATCAGATCTGGCGTGTCGACGGAAGCCTGTGGCGCGTTGCTGTGATCCTGGCCGCCGCTCGATCCGAGGAAGCTCATATCCGGTATACGCTCTGTCTTAGCGCTGTGATCGTTGGACATGTGCTCCAGCATCGAGGCCGCGCGTGGATCGACGGCGCTCTTGATCTTGATCCAACACATGCTCTCCTCGGCGTGGGTGTCGGACCCCCCTGAGCTGTCACTGGCGCGGCAGCCGCCGGCGGACTGTGAGGAGCGTGGCAAGACCTGCGTCTTTGGTAACGCGGACCTGCGAGCACCGTCGACGACGACATTACGTGGACGACAGGATAAATGCCGAAGCAGACACCTGCTGCAGGGGTGACCTTTGTCGCAAGACACTTTGCTGACGAAGCAAGCCTCGCACGCCTTTGGTTTGCGTCCGCGGCGAAGCTCGGGAACCACGCTGTCGGCGTCCTTTTCGATGCAATTGAGCATGTGCTTTCGGCACACGTCTCTGCGAAAAATTGATTTGGTTAAAAAGGCGGGTAAGAAGGAGATGACATGAAGACGACTGCGAGCTTACCCTCGTCCAAACTCCTTGGCGCAGTACAGGCAGCGGAATCTGCCCGAGGCGGAATCTGGTGACACAATATTAGGATAAGTTTGCTGCATGGAATGAGGGTTAAAGTGCCGCAAAGAGCATCATGGTCAAGTGAGTAAACTTGTGCGGAGAAGGAGGAGGGAGGTAGGTGGCTGTGGTTTTGTAAGAGGTATTGAGCATGGGAGATGACTGAGAAGCGTGCGCAAGGCGAGAAAGACTGCCCGGTAATGGAGACCTTCCGCGCGCGGCGTAAAAACTCAGAAGCGAGATGGAACAAAACTTGATCGACTTACGTGTGGCTTCGTGGCGACGTAGATGGGCATTTCTCTGATAACGCTTCCCGCACGTTGTGCAGACATATATTTTGGCAGTGGACGTTGCCGAGTCACAACCACCTTGGTCAAGGTCTGTCCTCGAAAAGGAAGCCATGCCCTGTCCCTACAGCTCTCAATATTGTTGCCAGCAACAGCCACGCTGCGCGCTGGCAATAGGCTGGTGGACAAAGATGTGTGTCTAGGAGACGGATGCCGACGCCAGTGTAAGCGTCGATTCTCGCCGCCGGACTCTCGGGGTGGGTTCTTGGAAATAGGATGGCGGTGGGGCCGTGCTGTTCGGATCCGTTCCGGAGGGAAAAGGAGGAATATTTATAGTTGAGTATCGTGGGTGAAGAGACCCGTAATCGCTCGGGAGCAGACTCGGTTTTTTCAAGCCCATTTGTTTCTTCAAATTTTCCGATAGCCCATATGCTTGAAAGAAGTTGCCATTTTCGAGAAAGAAGGGGTCCGACGATCAGTCACCTAAGGCCCGAGTAGGAGTCATTGGAAGCTGTTCTTATCAGCTGGCAGGGGTTCTCATCCGAGGTCGCCAATTTTGTAGCCTTAATCATTTCAGAGTCTCCGCATTCGAAATTTGTGCCTTTTACCTTGGGTCACTATTCGAGGTATATTGGCTACTCTGCGGGAATGAGCAGAAGGGCACTGCGATGGGCCAACAATATTTTGAGGCGCGCAACCGCCTATGCTAGCAAATACAACACGAATCTAGCGTTGATTACGTACAATTCGGTAACTTGATGTCGCTCGTTACTCAATGCAGCTGCATCTGGGCGGGCTGCGCGACACCGAGTCTGGACAAAGCTTCGCAAGTCAGCCGTTGTCGTCTACTGCGAGAGCCGCATCTGTCGGCGAACCAGACACCGGCAAATTTTTCTCGTCTCCATGGGGATGGGCAATGGAAGCACCGAGCGCGGCCTAGCGGCTTACATGCTCCGCGGCTAAAAGACGCGGCGTCCAGACCATGGTTCCTCTTAGCTCTACCAGCAGAGACTTGGGCAGGATATCATCGGCATTTTTGCTGGCAACTAGCCATATTAAGGCAGTGAAGTATACACTAACGGCATGTACCCGTATTGATTTTGACCGTAGGCGACTTTGAAGTGCTTTGTGTGGCTAGTGCCTTAGATACGATGTAGCCGCAGAGGGTAGGTGATGGTTTGGACCTGATGAGAAGACAGAAATGGTTCTTTTCGGATATGTGTTAGAACAAACATATTGGCAACCAAATAATATCACTAAAAGCAAGGTATTAGATGTCGACCCTGCACACTTGGCACAACAATACGGCACTGGGCACATTGGGCATGTTACAACCCACCCCGGGTCTGATTTGGGACATTTGAGCCTCCGAAAAGCAGCGGCTTAAGATGTATAGGCTATATAGTATAAAATACTTTTCCACCCTGTGAAACTGTTCATTGATGACGTGCTCGATTCTTGGTGGCGCATGGTCCAGACTCGTGGCGCTCGTCAACAAGCTTTAACGGTAGCGACGCCGAAAGGTACACATGAAACCTCTGGGAGTCAAATTAAGCTTAAATACTAGAAAAATGCTAAAGGACTTTGAAGAAGCTATAATAATTTCGTCCGAGGTTTCAGCATCGAAAGAGCTCAGTTATGGACAACACTTCAATGCCTACTCCATGATTAGATCCAAGCCCGCCAGCATCTTTTCTACCGCACTCTCGATTCTTTTTGTAATCAAACGCTGAATTGAACTGCTAGGGTCGCTGCTACTATAGTACCACTAGATGATAGCCTCTGAGATTCAAAATTGGGTTCAAAGGCTTCTGTGGCTGAGTGAACTGACCCGTCAGTAAACACACTTTTTCGACGGGGGTTTGCTCCCCGAAAAAGATTTGTAACAGAAATCAAGCCAGTGGGCTTGAAAATTCTTATGTTCATAACTCAAAATTGGCCTATAAAGCCAAGCCACCTGGCAGCCCCCTCGCCTTTTTTCATCAGTATACTCTCGAGACTGCGGTGCAAGATGAAGATTTCTGTCTCTGGGCTTGTTGCGACTATATTCTTGGCGGCAGCCGATGCCGCCTCGAATGTGACTCATGGCCGAGGCTCACCGGGCTGTGGAAAACAGATCACGCACATCGGTAAGGAGGAATGGAACGCCCGATTCGTCGTCTCGCGCTACTGGCGTGCTTTCGTAACCTACACGCCTGAGAAGTACGACGAGAACACACCTCAACCTCTGATCATGGCATTCCACGGTACCGGCAGGCCTCACTGGGAATTTTCTCAGCAGACTCGATTCTCAAAGCCCGGCATCAACCCCAACATGATGGTTCAGTACATGAGGGCTTTCAAGGCAAGTACCTAAAAGTCTTCTTTTCAGATTTAGGAAAGACGACGCCCATACTGACACTGCATTAGAGGAGCTGGTATGGTGCCAATAACGCTGAACCGTGGGTCGATGACTTCAAGTTCACCGAGATGGCTCTTGAGCATCTCATGAACAATTACTGCATCGACGTGGACCGCGTATACCTCGTCGGCCACACTGGCGGCGGCGGATTTGCCAACATTCTCGCCTGCGACCCGCGCTTCAGTCGGCACTTTGCCGCCATGGCGCTCATGGGGCCCACGCTGTATCGCGACCTCGACGACGACTACTGCAAGAACGCGCGGCTGCCCATGCCCATCTTGGAGGCGCACGGATTACAAGACCCGACGTCGCCCTACGGGGGGCTCACCATCAAAGAGCGCGTAGTCGGTGCGATTCCTCCGATTCCAGACTGGATCAAGCGCTGGGTGCGCCGCAACAACTGCAACCCGGTGCCTCACCAGGAATATTACGTCGACAAGCGTATCACCTCGGAAAAGTACACCTGCCACGGCCAATACGGGTTTGTCGAGCACATCAAGGCCCAAGACCATGGCTACTATTGGATGACTGCAAAAGACGATTTGGACATTTCGCAACGAACCATGTTCTTTCTGCAGCAGCAGGTCCGACCAGGCAATCTGTCCATTCCCCTGGATTCGCGCGGTCTCTTCACTACCTTTGGCGGCAACTCCTCGTCTTCGGGCAATTCCACCAACCACAAAGACACGTTCTTCCCGCGCCCTAACATGACTAGATGGGACGACATCACCGCTACACGCAGCTCCAAGACGTCGAGTCTCTTTACCACTTCCAGCAGCGGTGCCGTCTCTACTGCATCTGGCTACCCCGAAAGCCACAACAAGACTACTACTAGTCATCAGGATCGTCCTGCCTACACCACCGCTTCTACCTCTTCCACAAGGACATTTTACGCCAGCATGGCTCCCTACAGTTCAACCTATTCCACAGGGACCTTTTACGTCACCATGCCTCATGGTAGTTCTACCTCTTCCACTTTCACAAGGACCTTTGACGCCAGCCCGACCAACACTCCCAGTCCCGATTCCCACCCCGATCACACTGATGAAGTCCAAGCCTGTCACAACTAGGTCGGATAGATTGAAATGGTTGTCTTTGGTGTGTTTTGCCAAGTTGTTTGCTTTCTAACTTAACAGATAATATGAAATAATCGTCCTTGTCTTGTCAAGCTTGCTTTCTGATTGGAAAGACGCTAAATTTGAAACGAGTTTCTGCGGGTGTAGCTAGCTTTTCTAGACTAGATATTAGACCGAGCTACAATGGAATCATCATTACCATAGAACGAATCATGCAAGCTCTCGCACATGAAAGTGACGGCCCGACGCCCGTCTTCCAGCACGCCGCTCATGCTCGGGAAAACGTGCGGCTGGTCGTGAAACATGGCGAGACGCACGCCCACGCCGGCTTGCCTTAGCTTTGCCGCAAACGCCTCGCCCTCGTCGCGCAGCACGTCGAGTCCCGCGACGACGACAACGGCCGGCGGCAGCGCGGACCAGTCGCCCGTCCAGAGCAGCGGGCTCGCCTCCGGGTGCGCCCAGGCCGCGGCGGCGGCCGGGCCCCCCCCCGGGCAGATAGCAGTCGCGGAACCACAGCATAATGTCGGCCGAGAGCGCGGGCGAGTGCTGCAGGTCGCGCCAGCACGCGCTGTTGTCGGGCGTCCGCGTATTGTCCGTGACGGGGATGCTGAGGAGCTGCGTCTTGATGGCGGGCCCGCCGCGCGCCGCCGCCGCGCGCTGGGCCATGACGGCGGCGAGGTTGCCGCCGGCCGAGGTGCCGCCGACGGCGAGGTTGGCTGCGTCAATGGCGAGCCTGGCCGGGCCTTCCTTGGAGACCCAGAGGAGGGCGGCCCAGGCATCGTCTACCGCGGCGGGAAATGCGTGTTCGGGGGCAAGTCTGTTTGTTGTGTGTATTTAAAACCGCTGTTAGCGCGGCAAAAAAAAAAAAGATAAGGCAAAAAAACTTGAGCTGCGGGAATAGACCTGCCTATAGTCTACAGAGACGACCACGCACTTGGCGCGTGTGCAAATGTTGGTAATGACGTCCAACTCCGAGTCCAGACCGCCGAGCGTCCAGCCGCCGCCGTGGTAAAAGACGAGGACCGGCCACCCCCCGGTCGGTGCCGAGCCGGGCGGCGTGTAGCAGCGAGTCGGTATCGTCACGCCTTTGGTCGGGCCCGAGTCTAGAGCGATGAGAATGTCTTCCTTTTTGCCCACCGGAATCTCAGGACCACTACCGGGAAACGGCCGTCGGGGTATGGAGCGGATCACGCTGATGGGAATCGTATGAATCTTGGGCGCGGCAATGGAATTTTCATTGTAAAAAGCCTTGTACTCTGCGTTCAATCGATGTTCCTGGGACGGATGAATGGGATATAGCTTTTCTGGCATCTTGAAGTTCTCTTGGTTGGGATTTTTTGATTGTTGTTTGCCAAGTTTGGTAAGAAATTGGCGCGACTTGGGTGATTCGGCCTTTTTTTTCTCTTTGTCTTTGTAACACGGACTTTTCTAGTTGGATGATTGCCCCGAGACAGAGAGGCTGCAGCTGGGCCTGCTAGTTATGGGCAGTCTATAGCCTGACTAGGAATAAGCCAGCGATGGCGTGCAGGCGCGCCTCGGCATATTTGCAGCCAATGGCCAATCACAATGTCGAAATGTCACACAGAAGCCTCTATTATAGAAGGCGATAATGCGACCGGGGATCCGTGTTCCTGATCGACGAAAGACCTTATTCTTGCATCGCTTGACCTAGCGAGAATCAACATGGCATCTTCGGAATGGCACTGTAATATTCGATAACGGCCTGCCTTTCCTCAAAGGGTTCCATGAGTCGTCCAAGCGCTGATCAGGACGTTAGCTCCAAGGGGCCTTTTGATGGTTGGTGCAATTGAGGGCAGAAACCCCCATAATACCCCATATTCCGCTCATGTTCCGTAGCATTCCTATCTATTTGGAGGGCGCGATGCCTAGTCTGGCGTAGTGAGGGGCAGGCGGATTCTGGAGGGGGGAGCAATAATGAGGGATATGCTGCGTGTTCTAGAGTTTGTGGGGGTTTCCTTGACCTTTTCCTCTTGTCGCACCTTTAGCTTTTCATAATACGTCGCACGATAATTGGTCGCACGCAGTCTTGATCGCTCGTTGAAGAAAAAAAAGGCCTCAAGTGACCCGTTGCTTGCCTGCTCCAGCATCCGTCACTGTTCGCTGCTACAATCGCCATGGCGTCGTTGACCTACTACGCTGCCTCGCCCCGAGAGGCACTTGTCGCCGAGTACGTGGGAAAGTCAATTCGCAATGTGCCTACACCGGCGGCCATCATCAACGTCGCCGCCGTGCGCAGAAACTGCAGCCGCATGCTGGATGCTTGCAAGAGCCTCAACCTAGGCTGGCGAGCACACGTCAAGACGCACAAAGTATGGCTGGTCTAGTAGTAGCGCGCCTCTGCGCAAGTTGCATGCTGACTTTTTAAAGACGGTAGAAATTACCCGCCTGCAAGTCGGTGATGACGCTTCATTTCCGGTGAATCTTGTGATTTCGACTCTAGCCGAGGGGGAATTCCTGCTGCAGACTCTCAAAGAGTACAAATCTCAAGGTCGGCAAATTAATGTATGTCTTTGTGGGGTAATTGAATCAAAAAGCAGTAGCTAATTAATACTGGCAGATTCTCTACGGCCTACCCATCAACGCCAATGCAGTTGACCGCCTTGCCGCCATTGCCAGCGCTCTCGGCCAAGGCTCCGTCTCGATTCTTCTCGACGATCCTGCGCAGCTCCCCGTCGCTGCTAAGCTACGCCAAGCGAGCGGCATTGCGCCCCATGCCTCGATCAAAATTGACATGGGCGGCAAACGAGCTGGCGTCGTCGCTGATGGCGAGCGCCTCCTCGAGGTTGCCGATGCTGCCCTGAAGGCTCACCAGAATGGCGATATTGTACTCTCTGGGCTGTACTCGCACGCCGGTCAGTCCTACGGCGGTGATAGCCGTGCGGCGGCCATCAAGATGATGGGCGACGAAATTCGGGCCATGATGGTCGGCGCAGACAAAATCAAGGCGCGCGCAGCGGAACAGGGCGTATCAAACCTCCCCGCCCTCGTTCTGTCCGGTGGTGCATCGCCCACAGCCCTGTCTGTCCAGAATCTTTTGAGCCAAGACGACGACGCACAGGCCGCGTCTACGCCAGAGCTACAGACCGAGGTGCAGAGCTTGACGGCGCTGTTTGGCACGGTCAAGAGCAGCGGCCACGTTGTAGAAATTCACGCTGGCGTCTACCCCACGCTCGACCTCCAGCAGCTCGCCGCGCACAGCATGTCAGCGTCGCGCCTTTCGTGGGGCGACATTGCGCTGACTATTCTCGCCCAAGTCCACAGCACGTACCCTGGGCGCGGCGCAGGCGGCACGCCCGAGGTGCTCATCGGTGCCGGCGGGCTGGCCCTGGGCCGTGAATTCTGCAAGGCGTACGACGGCATGGCCTTGCTAACGCCGTGGGGGCGGACGGGCGCCGCGCCGCCTGCAGGCGATGTCGAGGACCATGAGGGATGGCAGGTGGGCCGCTTCTCGCAGGAGCACGGCATTCTGACCTGGGCGGCGGGCAAGCGCAAGGGTACGCCGTCGGGGCCGCCCTCGGACATGCTGGAGGTTGGCCAGAAAGTGAAGCTGTGGCCCAACCACGCGTGCATCACCAGCAGCCACTTTGGGTGGTACTTTGTGGTGGATGAGGATCGGCCGGGCAAGGAGGATGAAATTGTGGACATCTGGACAAAGGCACGGGGTTGGTGAGGAATTCGGTGGCGCACAAATTTGATGATAGACGTTAGTATAGGGAGCGGAGTGTGAGGAGTGTGCATTTTCTTTCCGCACTTGATCAACAAGCAATGTGTCTCGTGATGTTGAATCCCCCCACCCACCATGTTGGGGGCGCGCGTGAGTGGGGGGTTGCCGGGCTGCCTTTCCGTGCCTTTCCACACTGCGGGGGATGCAAACAGGCTACCTAGATGACAAGGGCTACAATGCCATGTCATACAATGATTGTGGCCATGAATATGATCAAGCCAAGCACCTGAAAGCACGGCAAGGGCATGTGATTTCGGCTTCCCGAGATTACGTTGACGTGTCGAAACGTTACGTTGGGCTGCGGTTGCTCACGGTGAGTTATCTCACGGAAGTCAGCAGATCGGACACTTGCCCGCAGCCTGCAGGACTCTGCCTGCATCCGAATTTCTCCACATGTCTTGCATCAACCTGGATTCTCCAGCTGAAGCTTCGCCGAGGACCACCGGAACTAGTGCTAGTTTGCTGGCCTAGCAACCTAGCAACTTGCAACTTGGCATCCATCCTGGCTCAGGGCCCCCCAAGACCCCCCTGCTGGAGCTGTGTGTCACTGACAAGGGCCTCGGGTGACCCCCTCCATCTCGCTCCATCTTACCGATGGACACAGTTTTGACTGCGTGCATCCGAATTTTGTGCGACAATGGTGGCTCTGCGACACTGTGATAGACAAAGAAACCCCAAAGCGAACTGACACCTCAGCCTTGGACAGGGTCTTTCCCAGCCCTCCACACACCGCAGTCATACACACATGTCATAAATAAGACATAAAATCTGCTCCCCAACTGGGGCCGCGCCGCGTGGGGGGCTGCGGAACAGGCTAAAGTGGTCGCCGCGGGGGTGCGACATTGGCAACACGATTCGAGGGCGGGCGGATCAGTTGACGGAACTTCTTCTCAGACTAGAGGCAACTGAAGGCTGCCAGACTAGATGCCATGTACTCACTAGGTAGCTGATGTCGTGATGGGCGAATTCGTCATGCACACAACCACAGTGTTAGTTGGGTGGAATGGCCGGTAGCCGGATAGGCCTTCAACAGCGTCACACGGGTGACGGATCAAGACAGAACAAAGAGGGGCGGGGCCAACTATTGGATGTGTATCGTTTCGTAGATTTCCTGAGTCGTCTTGGGCGGGACGGAAAGGCTACTGGTTTAGAGGCACCACTAGCGAGAACGTGGATAGACCTTCCCACTCTCTCCGCTGTCGTTCTCCAAATAAATCTTGTCTTCCCTTTTCCTTCTTACAAGATCATCTGCCTTACCATCATAAAATTCAACAATTATAACCCCTTCCTTCTCGTTCTTGATTGGAGATTTCTCCCCATCAATAACCTACAACGTACCGATTTACACCCAACAGCCAAAAAGCCCATAATGTCACCTTCGGTGTCTTCCACCGGTGGCAACGGCGGCAGTCCTCGACCACTGAGCCGGGGCATCTACGTGCCGACTGTGGCCTTTTTCGACGCCGAAACGGAGGAGCTAGACACCAAGACGATTGGACGGCACGCGGTGCGCCTAGCCAAGGCTGGTGTAGCGGGCATCGCCGTGCAGGGCTCCAACGGCGAAGCCGTTCACTTACTGCATGAGGAACGGACGACGGTGACCAAGGCGACGCGGCAAGCCCTCGACGCCGCGGGCTTCTCCAGCATGCCGCTCATTGTCGGGTGCGGAGCGCAGTCGACGTTTGAGGCCATTCGCCTGTGCACAGACGCGGCGGCCGCCGGCGGCGACTATGCGCTGGTGCTGCCGCCCAGCTACTACAATGGCCTCTTTGAGGGCGCGACGACCGTGCTTGACTTTTTCCAGGCCGTTGCGGACGCCTCGCCCATCCCGGTCCTCGTCTACAACTATCCCGGCGCGACGCCCGGCGTGGACATTTGCTCCGACACGCTGGCGACGCTCGCCAAGCACCCCAACATTGCCGGCTGCAAATTCACCTGCGGCAACACGGGCAAGCTGGGTCGCGTGGCCGCGGCGGCCAAGGCGGCCGGCAATGAGTTTTTGTGCTTTGCGGGCTCAGCCGACTTTACGCTGCCGGCGCTGGCCGCGGGCGGCGCCGGCGTCATCGGCGGTCTCGGCAATGTAGCCCCGCGCGCGTGCGTGCACGTATTTGACGTTGCAGAAAAGGAGGGTGTATCATCTAAGGAGGCGGCGCGTCTGCAGGAGATTGTTGCTCGTGGCGACTGGGTGGCCATTCAGACAGGCCTCGTCGGCGTCAAGGTGGCGCTCAACGAGTATGCTGGCTACGGTGGCTTCTCGCGCAGACCACTACCCCGACCGGACGCGGAAAAGACCAAAAAGATTGTGGATGGACTCAAGGAGATTATGGAGCTCGAGAATTGGTTGCAGGATAAAGCTTGATTATATGTAAAGTAGACTTTGTCGCGCCAAATTTCCTATTACACTCCTCTTCCACTGGAGATGATTACGCAGGTGGAAGATTTCGAAACAAGTATATAGATAGCTGAGCATTGACACACAATTAATACATGATTGGTTATCATAGTAAATCTATGTCATTTTTGATAATCCTGCATTATTAGCCATCGTAGAGTTGGCAACTGGCAGCTCACATTCTGATAGATGTAAGTAATATCTATTGTGGTACATTTATGTCATGTTTGTGACTGTTTTTCTTGCTTCGCATTATTTTGTTTCAAAGTTTCACCTTAATGCTCCACTCGTCCGGTAGTCATTCAACAGCAGTGCACTCAATCTCAACGTCGGTGTTGAGGGGCAGAGTCTTGACAGCGACGCAGCTACGGGTATCATTAGTACAAGTCGTGTTATAGCAATCATTGGCGGGTCGTGGCTCTTACGTGCGGCAAGGCTTGACATCGCCCCAGTAAGTCATGTAGATCTCGTTCATCTTGGCAAAGTCGTCCATGTTGGCGAGGAAGACGTTGACCTTGACGACCTTTTCAAGGGTGGTTCCCGAGGCCTCGAGAATGGCCTTGAGGTTCTTGATGCATTGGTGCTGTAAAAGGCGGGCGCGCGTCCTTGTCAGCCAGCTGTGCTGGGATTTCCATGACAGCGTCGTGTTCCGGGGGCAGGTTAGAACTTACAGTGTGAGCCTGAATGTCGCCAGGAATAATCTGGTTGGTCTCGGGGTCCATGGCGACGGCGCCAGAGACAAAGACGAGGCCGTTGGCCTTGATGGCCTGGCTGTAGATGCCGGGGAGGGGCTTGGGGGCCTTGTCAGTGAGGACAGCTTCTTTGCCGGACGCCATTGTGAGGAATGCAGAGGTGATGGTGGAAGAAAGGATGGATTGGGGAATGGGTGAGGAAAAAAAATTTACAGATGGAGGGGGGTACTTTAGATGCGGGAGAGCAGGAATTGTCAATGGTAGGGCGTGCCAATGAGTATTTTTGTTTGTGTTTGACAGCATCCCACCTTTCTTGTCCAAGAAGAGCTTCCCCCCTCACTGCCCCCGCACCCAGATAGCGGGCGCGCCAGCTGGTGGACTGACAAGCTATCTCTAGGTATAGCGGGTTACAGCGGGTTACAGCGGGTTTACTGGCCAACTCCCGCACTACGACCGCTCAAGTTTTCTGAAAGACAGAATAGATACGTTGACGTCACTTCATACGAGAAGCTTCACAGCACCAAGGGGACCACCTACGCGCTTGATCGAGTTTTACAAGATGCAGAGAAATTAAATTACCACGAGAGCAAATAGATGTGTTAAATGGTCCAAGCTAAGCCTTCCCTTCAACGCGTCACCCACAGCGGCGAGCCACAGCTAGGACCCCCACCGAAGAATACAGGCGACGGCAAGATCACAGGGACAAGCCAAGGACGTCAGCGAGAAACCCAATATACGGTCCGGCGTAGCAGAGAAAATAATGAACGATAGAGAGCCAGAACCGAGTATAACCTAATCCATTCCCTCTAGGGCAAGTACGAGATAAGAGACAGTCGCCACAACGTAGGTAAGCTAAAAGCAACGCAACCTCGCCACGACTCCAGCGATTGAGGCGTTTGCCCCTATATACAATAGTCAGATAGACGAGGCATTCAAATGCTACTCTTTTAATTGCATTGAAGGGCCGGGGCGCTTGTGGACAAGGTTTCTGGGTGAAATGGTAAACCCGCTCATTGTTCGTTTGTTAGCTTGTCAGATGTAATTCTATGCACTGGAATCTGATGATTCAAACAATTCTGAAGCTTGCTTAAATCTCGGTTGAATGACTTTTGCTTCAATATTGGGTCGCCGTCCTACTGGAAACCGCAGGAACTTCGGTCTGATTGTCCTGAGCTGTTTGCTTTGCTTCTCATATGTCCCCTGCCGCCGCGTTAACTATGATATTACGAGGCGCAAGATCATAGTGTGTAAGCATAAATGTTTTCGCTTGTAGAAGCAAGGACCCTTTAAAGCTACATAATCGCAATTCTATATTCATGCCTAATAAATCTAAAATCTGTCCAGAAGGCTAGAAAGTCCTATAACATATTTAACGACCGACCTTGTGGTAATTTTGATTGTTTTTATCGTATTGGCGAGGCATTCTGGTCTGTAGGATTTGGTGAGGAATCGGCTGGATAAAACCATAATCTGACCAAAGGGGTATTTGGCTTTAGGCTCTGTAAGATGAGTTATTTTATTTCGGCATCTGCACCACACATGACTATCTCGTCTGGTGATTTATTTGTTATGAGGGCTGTGATTGATGATTAGGCTTCGGGAAACTACCCTTGACGGTCAAGAATAGTCGTACAGCCAGCCCTCTTTGCACATGGTTGGTGCAGTAATGAAGTGCAAGCCAGGCTGTGGGTGGTAGCCGTAGCAGGGGACATAGTCCCCCCACCAAAGGAGTGTAATCAAAGTACGGATACCCAAGTTAAATTTACTCATCCACCGCCCTACAAGCTGCACCACCTCGACTTGACCCCCATTCATCAATTACGTACCAGCCGTGTCATGACCCCAACGCATCCTACAGGCCAGGCTTCGCACCAGACCAGCAGTCGCGGTGGGCAACAACGCGCAGCTCCAATAGTTGGGTATACAGTGGGTCCAAGTAATTCCGCTCGCAAAACACCAAAATTATATACTAGTACTAAGTCACGTCACGTAGAAAAATAACTCTCCTTCTTATAACCTATATTATAACCACCACGATGCCTAGAATTACCTAAAATCCTAACTATAGTCCCTATAAGAGGGGAAGGGTATAGTAATTATATTTAATTAGTTTTTCTTATAAGGACGTGGCTTAGTATAAGCGTATTCCTAAAGGTAGTATCTCTAGTATTATAATATACTATAAACATTAAATTAAGGGTTAAGATTTACTACGCCTAGGCGTATTAAAGAAGATATTAGAATATAATAAAAAATATATTATTTAAATTATTAATAATAACCCTTTTATCTAGAATAAAAAGCTTATTAAATAAGCCTATTTATATTATTTTATATTAACTCTTATTTCTTACTTATAATAGTAGAATATCCTTTATAAGTATATAATTTAATAACTAAGATTATTAATAATTAAATATATAACTATAAGGTTTAGATTTATATAAGAATATTATTAAAAGTTAATTAATTAGTAAAAAAATTTTTTTTCTCTAATAAGTATTTTATAGTTTATAGTAATAGTAATAAGACTAAGTAATATTTTACCTATAAGGTATATATTTATAACCCCTTAAAGAACTATAAATAACTTAATAACTATAAGGGTCTAGGATAAGAGATTTAATAAGGATAAAGTATAACTATAGGTACCCTAAGGATAAAAAACTCTTATATTTTAAGGCGTAATTAGTGCTTTTAAGAGGTTATCTTTAAATATAGTTAATAAAGACCTTAATAGCCCTTAATATAATATTACTATATATATAATTCTTATAATACTATAATCTAAATTACCTATAATTTTAAAACCTAGAAATATATTTATATAAGATAATATATTTACTTATATAACTTATTTAATATAAAACTAGTTATATAAGTTTAGTTAAGAGAATAGGGTGTATTTCCTAGATTAGCTATTATATTTACCTAATCTTAACCTAATTAAGAATATTTAAGTATTACTTTAAAAAAAAAAAATTTAGTATTATTTTAAACTTTTAGAGATATTAGTTAATAAGCACTTATTTAATTTATTAGAAAATATTACTATTAAGTACTAAGAGGCTTTTAATTAAAACCTCTTATATTATCTAATTATAATAATATTATACTAAATTAAAGCTATTATTTACTCTAGAGGCTAGTATATAAAGTACTAATTATACTAATTAATATAGAATTTATTACTTTATCTATATATAATATAGCTATTTCTTTACTTAAAAATTAGTTAAGTTATATAGGTTTAAAAGTAATAGGTGTAGGTACTACTACCCTGCTCTGGTAGAGCGCGAGCGGAATTACTTCAGACCCACTGTACCATCATGCAGCCACAGCCAATCCCCCGCCAGCCCGCCCATTGACTAGTGGAGACGCTTGATTGGGAAACGAGGGGAACAAGTGCCGGCATTTCTGCAGCTGGAAACGGGCTGCAACCCATCGGTATTCACGACTGATTTTCCGGAGAATTTCTGGGGTCGGACGATAAGAAAGTCGAATGGCTTGAATTATCGGCCAACTCGATCGAAATTGCTGTGCTTTTATCTTGTTGCTGTTATGGCAGCCGATAACGCAACTTCCATCATCTATCGTCGGTTCCACTGCAATTCTCGAATATCTGTCTCCTCCGACCGTCGGGCCCTCGTCCAATCCAAACACACACCCGCTGTCCGCAGCAATTGATCAACCCTATTTCATCTAATGAGAACATGACGGTCGCCTGCCTTTGCACCGCAACGGCCAGCAGGCAGTCGTCATTTCCTTTGGCCCAGCATTAGCGCAGGGCGCCTCGTTTCTTCACATGGTCTCAAGTTCGGCCTCGCCCGTCGGAGGCGCGCCTGGTTCAGAATACGACATTGAAAGCAACCCCCTCCACGCCCGTTTGATAGGCAGAAAACAACAGGGTTGGCCGCCACTTACGACGACTGCAACCTTGCCACCAACACCAATCTAGCGCAACGCCGTCGTCTTGCTGTCTAACCGCATGCGTGGCTTGCCCTGTGCCCGAGCTCACTTTTTCTTCCTTCCCCGTTCCGTGACTAGTTATATCTGGGGTGACTTCCGGCCATCAGGTTGCCGCCTTGGCCAGAACAAGTGGTCCCTTATCTCGGGGTTGCAACTGATAGCTCTGCTCGAGTGGCTTTCATGCGCATTGCCTATTAGGTTTTCTTATCGCGACCACAATCTATAGTCCTCAATCGGAGCCCTTATAAGAAGCTCACAGACCGCCAGTTGGCGCAGCAATTTTCATCGAGCCCGAAGCCTCATCCTTCAACGGCGCTTGCTCATCGTGCGACCATGACGAAAGATGATGCTGCGGATGTGGAAGCGTCCAGCAGCAAGGACAACATGGCTCATATGACCCTCTCCCACGACGACAAACCGGAACTCATGGGGACCATGGATGACATTGCCCGAGTCATCGACCACAAAGCCGAAAGAAGCTTGGCTTTCAAATTTGACATTCGCATCCTACCCGTTATTGCAGTCATGTGTCAGTCATATTCTATTCGTTACATTCGTAGCTATCTAACGACTTGTCGCAGACCTCTTCAATGCTCTCGACAAAGGCAACATCGGTAACGCCCAAACCAAGGGTCTAAGCAAAGGTATGCATACACATGCATCGCAAGCATTGGCACGGCATTAACGCTGCCATTCTCCAGATCTCAACTTCAAAGATGGCCAGTACAACCTCATCGTCTCCATCTTCTTCGTTCCCTACGTCATTTTCGCTCCCCCCGTGGCTATGCTGGGCAAGAAATATGGCCCGTCACGCACTCTCCCCATCATGATGTTTTGCTTTGGCTCCATGACACTTCTTACCGCAGCCGCCCAGAACTTTGGTGGCATTTTTGCTCTTCGCTGGTTTCTCGGAATGGCCGAGGCTGCCTTTTTTCCCACAGTCATCTATTACCTCACCACATTTTACCGCCGTGGCGAGCTGGCCAGACGGCTAGCCATCTTTTATGCTGCGTCCAACATTGCCAACGCCTTTAGCGGTCTGTTGGCGTTTGCCGTTTTTCATATCAAGGACAGCAAAATTCTCGCCTGGCGTTATCTCTTCATCATTGAAGGTAGCATCACAGTTCTCTTTGCCATCTTTGCCTTTTGGTATTTACCCAAAAGCGCAAGCGAGGCCAAGTTTCTGAGCAAGGAAGAAAAGGATCTTGCTTTCCACCGAATCCAGGTCGATTCTTCCGCTGTTGTCGGCGAAAAGTTCAATCTCAAAGAAGCCTTGAAAATTTTTACATACCCTTCGACATTTGCCTTTCTCGGTATCGAAATCTGTCTGGGCGTGCCTCTTCAGTCTGTCAGCCTTTTTCTGCCCCAGATCATTCAGCGTCTACAATTCAGCACAATCAAAACCAACCTCTACACTGTGGCTCCCAACGTCACTGGTGCCGTTATGCTGCTTATTCTCGCCTTCATCTCTGATTGGACGCGCCTACGTTTCCCTTTTATAATTCTGGGTTATGCCTTTACATTTACAGGCTTCATCATTTATGCTGCTATTGAGGATGTTGAGAAGCAGCTGCATCTTGCTTATTTCGCCACATTCATGATGTGCTGGGGCACGTCGGCGCCTTCGGTGCTGCTGTCCACTTGGTACAATAACAACGTTGCCCACGAAGGCCGACGTATCACGCTGACGTCTGTCGGCGTCCCCCTCGCTAACCTCATGGGTCTTGTGTCGAGCAACATTTTCCGACAAAAGGATGCTCCTAAATACAAGCCTGCACTCATCACCACTGCTGCTTTCGGTGCTGCCGGTGCGACCATTACTGCGTGTCTCGGCGCATACATGATTTTTGACAATGCTCGACGTAACCGCAGAGCAGGCCGAAAGATTGATGCTCGCGATGTACCCACGCAACGGCTACGGGATGGCCCCAGCACAGAGGAGTTTCGCTGGTTTCTATAAATACATTCCCGACCCACGTTTTTGGAAGGCTTTTTTTAAATATATTTGAGCGATGATTGATTTAAATTAGTTACATGCACCCTACCTATATCCCAGCTATGTCTATACGCTGCTATTGTACAGTAAAAGAAGTTTGACAGTGACTCTTTGAACTTGACAAGTGACGTCCCCATACCCCAACCCATATCCTTTACTTGTCGTCTGTGGTGACGGCAAGGCCTTGCTCGCCATACCACCAGCGCCAAATGGCCTTGCAGTAGAACCACGTCTCCATGGTGCCAAAGATGCTCAGCACTACTATGAGGAAAATCTTCATGTTTTTGCTGACGCCCAGCCCGTCGAGGCTAAACTTGGGCAGCTCCGGGTTCCCGCTCTCTGTCTCGACTGTTACCGGCTTGACTCCGGGCTTCTTCTGTGTCGCTGCGGTAGTGTCGGTAGAGACTGTCTTGTTCAACGCGTCGTCCCCAGAGCGGTAGCAGCGCGCGCTGGTGGACAAGTATGCGTGGCGCGCGAGGATGTGCTGCGGCAACCGCGGCCGCAGGGCACTGCGCACAGCGAACTGCATATGCTGTATTGACAATTTTTGCATGGTGGTATTGCGATTGTACCTTTTTTTTTTTTTTTTTGGGTTTTGGTAATCTTCTCGAAAAGTGTGTGAATATGGAAAATGGAGAAGCCTGCATCAGCTCAAGGCTGGATGCGCTGTCGCTGTCGCGGGCCGCTAACTCGTACGGGCATTACGCCGAGATGGCTTGGCCGGTTCATTTTCGTAGGAGTCATTGCCAGGGCTAACAACATGATTAGAATAATTCTTGGCACAATTTGTGTTTCTATAAGACGTAAAAGGATCAGGAGAGGGATATCTAGGTTTAAAAACGATATATACATTGTAAAATTGCAAGCCATGTTTCTTCTTCAGACCGCATCATCATCATCATCAATCATCTTGCGCATCCCACGGCGGCATACTCACCTCCATCCCCTGCCACCAGTAATGTCTTCGGCTTGCAAAAATAAACCCAGCTCGCTAATCTTTTCGTCCGCCTCCCAGTGTCCATTCATGAGATTCGTAAAATACTGATCATCAAAGATGAGGTCCGGCACGTTATTCGCCGCCCCCGGAAACGTCATCATCGGCGTCTGGAGCTGCGGCGGCGACTGCGGCGTCATCTGCGGCGGTTGCTGCGGCTGCTGCTGCCATGGCATGCTCGCGCTAATGGAAAACGAGGCCGGCGGCAGCGATGTCTGCGCGGCCTCGGCGCCGCCACCGCCGCCGCTGTGGGCGTTTGCCGTGGCTACCGCGGCGCCGGAGAGGCCGTTGCCGGCGTAGAGCTGCTTGGCGTGCAGACGGTCGGCGATGGAGGCGTCAAGGTACTGGAAAAAGATGTCGAGAACGTTATTGTTGATGCGCCAGTACTTTTGGATTTCTTTGAGGCAAATAAGGCACATTTGCGCGCGGTTCTCGGCGATGCGCCGGTTGACGCCCGTGTCACGCCGGATGCTGATGACGTGGATGCACAGTGAGGTGAATAGACTGGTTATCCTGAAGACGAAAGTCAGTTTTAGAATGTCGTCGGTGATGAGGAGACTGAGGACGCGGTCGGTATACGCACATGTGCATCTGGCCGCGGCCTAATAAGCCACTTGTATACATGTCCTCGGCTATTCGACTGATGCGGCATGCTGATGCCGTTACAATCATGCTGCTCGCGGTCTTGTCGTTGGAGTGGAGATAGCTGTTTCGGTGGATGAGGATGCGAAGATGGCTAAGCACCGTGTTAGAAATACTGTTGTTCATTATCAGAAAAAGCACCCCATCGGTAACGTACTTGTATGCTAGGTGCAAGAGACACGCCCAGACCGAGGTATTCGTCTCGTCCGACAGAAAGCGCATACTCTGCGGCAGGCTATCTTTCCACGCCTCGAGCGCATTGTCCAAGCTCTCCACGTCTTTGGCCTTGGAGCCCGTCCGGCCAGGGACAAAGTGCAAGTCAATGATGCGGCCGACTGCGCCATTGTTAGCCGCGCGACAAACGTTAGGGGAGCGGGCGAAAAAAAAAAGAAGAAAAAAAAAAAGATGCATACTCAGCCGTGCGACTTCAACCATCTTGATGGCATACGTAATGTGCTCGGGCTTCATTGGCGCGAGAATCGGGTGCTCCTTTAGGTCCACGTCGGGTGCCTCGAGATCCGCGGCGCTCAGCGCCTCGATATCGCAGTCTTCGTCCCTGATGCGGCTGGGCAAGCCGAGAGATGCTGCCGATTGTCGTTCGCGCACCTAAGGAAAGATGTGAGCAAAAAAAGCAGAATTGTCCCGCTAGAACTGTGGCTGAGGAGTGCATACATAGATGGACCACCATATTCTCCTTCTCATTGTGGGCGTTTCTACCGTTTTGGAGACTGAGCAGGATCTAGAGCACGTGGTCAACAAATGCTGCGTGCCTTGGAAAAAAAAAACCGATACGCAATACTCACGATCGATGAAGGCCGATGGACTCTGATAGAGTAATGACATTTCCCAGCCAATACCGCACATCGCGTACGTCGGACGGCCCGTTTCTCTGAAAGCTCATCAAGAACAGGGACTGGATGAGCGTGATTTCATCCCTTTCCCAGTCGGCATCAATCAGCAGCTTTGCTCGCGTGTAAAAAAGCGTCTTGGCCTGAAATCGGTCGCTCAGCCCCATGCCCGATATGACCGACTCGTCGCAGTAGGTGCATCCGACAATCAGCATCGCGTACATGAGCACCTTGGGCACCCTGTTTTCGGTGAAGCGCTTCGCCAGGTCGGCCGCGTCCACGACGGGGAAGCACGGGTGGAACCAGGTGAAGAATGCGCGGAGCGCCGGCGCGCACTGCTCCTGCGACGGCAGGTCAAAGACGCCCTCGTCGCGCAGGTACCGCAGCGTCGACTCCTTGATACCGGAGCCTTCGGCCTGGGCCGGGTTCGGCCGCTTGGCCGGGAGGTGAAACGTGTACCGGGACTGGACCCCGCCGGGCTGGTTGGAGGTGGCATCGCCGCGCTCGCGGCCCCCAGAGACAATGGTGAGAAAGTTGGACTCGCCAAAGAAGCGTGCGCCCGACGCCTTGGCCGAGGAGGCGGGCGTCGGCGAAGTGGGTGGACTGGCCTCGCGCGCTGCCGTCTGCTTGCGCGTGCGGTAGCTGTGGCCCGCTGCGGCACTGCCAAACGGCGCGGAGGAGGAGGAAGATGGAGCAGCGGTGGTGGCGGCAGTAGCAGAAGCAGAAGCAGAAGCAGAAGCGGAAGCGGAAGCGGCAGGCTGAGAAGGCGACTGGGTGGTGGTGTTGGTCGCGTGGGCCTCTCGGTGAATCTGGTCCTCCGGATCTGTGCTCTCCGCGGTGCCGGACGCAGATGCTCCATTCCGGTGGTTCTGCCTCGTTCTCGGTCCCTTGTGCCGTGGCTTCCGAGGATATCTACCAAGCCAGAAGAAATGAAATTTTGCATTAGCTGATGCCGATATTCGTTGCAAGCATTACAGATTTTTGCTACTGCTCTACTTCGTTCCCCGGAAGGGGCGGGGGTTCATCTTTTTGACAGTTAAAACTCACCTTCCTCTTCTTGACGGCAGCACCTCACACTTGACGCCTGCATCGACGCAGTTGGTGCATGGCTGCACCTCCATCACGTCGCAGCGCACACGCCGCGAGTTGCAGACGGTACAGGCATGCTTGGCCCGCGCTTTTCTAGCCGACGAAGCGGCTTCGGTCGCCGAGGGCGACGGCGAATTCATGTGTGTGCTAATGCAGTTTCGTTGGGAATCGGTCCTTAAAACTTGAGCTGGTTTCATGGGCGCGCAAAACTTCTTTCACGATTGCCGCCTAATTTGGTCGCATAAAATATACACCCCTTGTAATGATTGATATTTTTTGCTGTGATGTAGGAGTCAAGTAACCGAGATTGAGATGCCGAACGCGCGGCCCACTATTGACCTAGAACTCGCTCCCACACGTCTGTCTCCGTTGTCGCAAAAGGCTCGCTCTCAGCGTCGGCAATTACTTGACGCTTTACCGAGGCGAATTTTGCATTTCTTTCCAGAATAATTTGACTTTTTTTTTTTAATTACTCTCAATCTTATAGGTATTTTCTAATAGCTTCGAGGCAGGCGCAGTACCTTTTCGCTAATGTAGTTGAGAATCATCTCGCGGCTTACCGGGGCAATGCGAGGCACCAGACACTCGCGGAACCAGCGCTCAACATGGTACTCTTGTGCGTAGCCCATGCCGCCGTGTGCCAGAATCGCCCTCTCGCAGGCCGTAAAGGCAGCCTCAGCCGCCAAGTACTTTGCGCTGTTAGCCGCCACGCCGACGGCATCCTGCTTGATGAACCCGTCCGCATTGCTGCTACTGTTGCTGCTGCTGCTAGCCTCGTCGTATAAGCGCGCCGCGTGGTACGTTGCCAGCTTGGCCGCCTCGAGCTTCATGTACGCGTCGGCCAGCGGGTGCGCGACGCCCTGGTTCATGCCAATCGGGCGCTCAAAGACGACGCGCTCCGACGCATACTCGGCCGCTTTTGCCACGGCGGCGTAGCCCAGCCCGAGAGCCTCCCCGGCGAGCAGGCAGCGCTCGGCGTTCATGCCGTGCAGGATCATCTGAAAGCCCTTGCCCTCTTGACCGATCAGACTCGACGCGGGGACCTTGTAGTCTTCAAAAAAGACTTCGTTGGCGTCGACGGCGCGCCCGCCCATCTTGCGAATCTTGCGCAGCGAGAGGCCGTTGTCGGCCGCCTGGCTGTCGAGGGGAATGCAAAACAGCGACAGCGCCTCGCTCGGCTTCCTGGCCTCGTCGCGCGGCGTGGTGCGCGCGAGCAGAATCATGCGCGACGCCACCTGCGCGCACGTAATCCAAATCTTTTGCCCCGTGATGCTGTAGTAATACCCGCCGTCGCCGTCGTCGGTCCTCGTGGCCCTCGTCGACAGCCGCAGCGTGTCCAGCCCCGCGTTGGGCTCCGTCACACCAAAACAGACGCGCCACTTGCCCGAGATGATGTTGGGAATCGTCTCCTCGAGCTGCGCGCGGGAGCCAAACTTGGCGAGCGGCTGCGTGGCGTAGACGTTGGCGTGGATGGCCTGCGCGCCCGCCATGCCCGCCCCGGACTCGGCAATCGTCTGCATCATCATGGTGGCCTCGGAGATGCCCAGGCCTGCGCCGCCGAGCGACTCTGGCAGCGCGATGCCCAGCCATCCGGCCTTGGCCAGGGCTGCGTGGAACTCGTGGGGGTCTTGCTCGGCCTGGTCCTTTTCTTGCCAGTACGTGTTGGGAAACTCGGCGCATATCTGCGAGACGGCTTCGCGAACCATGAGCTGGTTTTCTGTGAAGCCGGTCGTCTCCATGATACGCAGCGGCCGGGTTGTAGACAGGCGACGCAGCGGCGCAGAGCCATTGACGACACTGCGCCGGGCTGTAGATGGGTGCTGGATATAGACTTGCGCCAATTGGCGCCTAAGGAATTGCGTAGACCGCTGCATTGTGACTGGGAAAATAATAAAGATTTTGATGTTCAAGAGGTCGCTCTGGTCGCTGTTCAGAGGTTCTGATCTCGCTTCTTAAACAAGTCCGGGGTAATGACGTTGATCAAGTACCCGATCGGGCTTTTGACCAACGCCACTAGGCGGAAGAAGCCGAGAGCTCCCCGACCCCGTCACTTTAAGAGGATAGTTATAATCTTGTTCTTTCTTGAGCAGTCCTTTGACGAATGGACTAATGTTTACACAGAGAAAAGTCCTTCAAGCCAGCGTCTGGCACCCTTTGTTTCGGCAAACACAGCTCAACATCCTCGCCCTTCAAGTCATGAAACACCCGGGTATATTCGCGCTGGTTGCTGCGTTAGCTGTTTGCTCCTTGGGCAGAGCTCATCTTGACTCACGCTGGCGATTGAGATGAAATCATTATAGATGCCGTCAACCTTCATTTTTCTGCGAACCAAGTCTCCCACTCCGCCAAGCAGGCTCACGACAGTGGTGATTTTACTGTCCCATGTTACTAGTGCCGACACGAGCTTACCATCAACTCTTGTTGACTCGGTGCTGCCGTATGGGTCTAATGAGATGGTCAGCAATTTTTTGTTTTCCTCTTTCAAAAGCACCAGGTTGTCCGTTACTCTGCATCTTTTTGCCCTGGAGCATATTCCACCACCAAGCAAGGCCAACCGACTTGTCAACGATGATGGTGGGCCACGCTGCATAAGGTGTAATGACGTCGTGCTCCTGCTCTTTTTGGCTGGCGACGGAAACAATGCCGGCTGGGGAAATGTATCCGGTAATTTCATCCGTAGTTGGGTCAGTCGAATTGTTGACTGAGGCGAATAGGCCTGGAACTTTGGTGACTACGGAATTACAGGTTCGCACTCGCTCGGCGTTTTGGTGCAAGCGCCTGACTGACTGTTAGAAATAATGTTCAGCATCATTTTCGACTTCGACTTACCGGATAATGTCAATGTCAAAATATGGGAGCTCCAGAATCTTCCACGGCTCATGACCTGAAAACCAATATCCTAACCGTGTTAGCTTCCGTAACGCTTCTTGCTCACTCTAAGCGTACCCTGTTCAACAGTGATTGGGCCAACACCGCCCATGTTGTATTCGACGCTGACCAACTTGCCACGTTTGGCCACCCATAGCTTTTCTTTCTCGTCTTTGGACAATCCGCTAAAGAACTCTATGAAATATGTAAAGAGCTCTCCCTCGTACGGATCATCCAAGTAAGCAGGGCTCTCGCACGCGTACGACTGCCTCGGGTCATTGACTGGCAGTTTCTGGTCACCAATCTTTGTCACAGCACAAACATGGCCGTCACCTTGGTAAAAGACCTTGTCGACCGTGGTTTTGGCATAGTCGAGCCACTTTTGCCATGCAGCGGCAAGTCGACGGTGGGAAGCCTTGCAGCTTTTCTCGAGGGCGCTGATGCAGCCATACACGGCCCAAAGTAATTCGCTATTCATGCGTATTAGTTAGTGTCTGGTGTGAGTCAATATAGTAGCTTCATTGTGCCAAGTTTTTTTTGTTTACCCGTTGTCTAGTCCTGGGACTCGATTGACCCAGTCCCAGGTCGGCTCGATATTCTGCGAGCTCGTAGTCATCCAGGGAATGAAGCCGCCGAACCCGGGATAGGTGGCGTTGAATCTCAGGTACGTCTCGAGTTTCGTCTCCATAATGGAGACGGCAATCTGGGGCGCTTTTTGGGGGTTCCCGGGCGAAAGGAACCGAGCTGCTTTGGAGGAGCCGGCAATGGCGTGAGCATAAACCATTATTTGGAGCGCCTGTTCCATTGTTAGTATTTGCACATTTTCGGAAACGTCACTTGCCAATTGCCACTTGCCTCCTTGCTTGCAGCGCTGAATGGGTGTTTCTTGGTGCGTTCCCCCGTCACCCAATCCAGCTGTGTACCATCGTATGTCATGCCATTGGCCGAATTGTAAGAAACGTCATTTTGGTGAAATTGTCCCTCCCAGTATAAGAGATTCCATTCGAACTGATCTGAACTTTTTACAACCTCATCTTGAGTCCAATCTAGTGCAAATCGGCAGGGTGGTGGGGAAGATGACGGCGTACCAGTAGCCAGCCCGGATAGCAGACCCGACCACAGCAGACACCACGATACAGTCAGCATCATCAAATACAGTCTGTGCAGTGGTCTGTGAGGCTGCAATCCATCCGGTCTGGGAAACTCGTGTCTAATGAGACTTGGCTACTGCAGACTGCGGGCTCGGGTCCTTATATGCCACTGCGCTGCGTGCAGGCGGGCGAATTCCGCAGACTGAATTACAGTTCGCTACCAGTAGCAGGGCCTTTATGTGTCACCGTTGCAACTATACTGCATTCTACAGACTATATGCATCCTAATAATACCACCCAATGCGCATCCAGCTGGGCGTTTTCCATGCAGCTGAGCATTTTACTGTGGAGCAGAGGGCGGAAAAACTGGTGTGCCTTTTCGTGTCAGCTTCCGTCAAGGGCTCTTTGTTTGGCCTTTTTTTTTCTTCTCCCGCGCTTCGCCAGCTTCTCTGAACGGAAGTCGAGCCCGCTCCCGAAAACTCCGAAGTATATCTTGAAGCTGCACCCCGTATTCATCGTCATCGTCTCGAGATATTTCCCCTCATTTTTAGGGACACATTCTATTTCTCCGTCATGTCTGGGCGATGTCTGGGTCAGTGGCTTCAGCCTCGGACGTTGACGCTGCTGCGCCGCCAGTGGTGAAGGAACGAAGACAGCTCGGCGCTAGAGCCTGCGACCGATGTCGTCGGAGAAAATGCAAGGTGAATCAATTCATTTTCTCCGAACCTTTTTTTCTAGACCCCCCTCCTCTAACATCCAACGTCATTCTGCAGTGCAATCTTCCGCCCTCTGGTAGCTGTGCGCAATGCCTTGCCGCAAAGACAAGCTGTACATTTAATCTCCCGACAGCGCGAAGGGGCCCGAAAGCAAAGAACAAGGCAATTGCCGACGGCAATACTCTGAGCTTTTCAGAGGTTCCCCCACTGAGGTTTAATGATACGCCGTCGTCTAGCAGTCTTAATCTCGGCACTTCAGCGCCACAGGAGCCCTGGAGGTCGGCAAGCGCTGGTATAATTGATGGTAATCTGCTACCACGCACCATCACAACAACTTCTCTACGCCCCTATGCAGACAATTCACAGGTACCCGTTCTTCAGAGATGGAGGAGCTTGGTGGATGAGACTACAGCCCGTGGCCTCGATTTTGATGCAACATTGAATCAATGTATAGACCTCTTCTTTGAGTATCTTTACCCTCTTACACCTCTTGTCCACGAACCTAGTTTTCGGGACAACTTGGCCTATTTTGTCCCATCAGACCGCCCGCCACACCTGGAGAGATGCCCCGAAGCCGCATTCACGCTCATTACTGCCGTCTGCGCAGAGGCGGCCTTTCTCCTACCAAAAGATATTTTTCCGAGCGGCGAAACCGTTGCCGGCATCTTCCTGCAAGCCTCGCGCAACTGTCTTGCCGGGTACCTCGAGGCAGACCTCGAGAATCCCAACGCCAGCTCCATCACCATCCGGTACTTTCACTCCAACTGCGTCCACGCCTCTGGCAAGCCCAAGTTTTCGTGGCACATTTTCGGAGAAGCCACGCGGCTGGCGCAAGTCATGAGGCTGCATGACGAGGCCAGCTACAAAGGCCTCTACCCAATCGAGGCAGAGATGCGGCGCCGCGTGTTTTGGATAGTATACATGGGCGACAAGTCGGCCGCCATTCTCAACAGTAGGCCAATCACCATGCACAAGTACTCGTTTGAGTGCGGCGTCACGGCTGCGTACCCTACTGGCATCGAGGAAGAGTCGCAGACGCCAATCTCGCCAGACAGCGTTTGCTCGACGGAACCTGCTGCTACCAGGCGCCAGAAACTCATACTCGGCTTCAATGCTAATATTCGACTTTGGGGCGCGGCGTCTGATTTACTGCTCGCCCTTCGCATCATGGAAGACCAGTCGCAACTCTCGAGGGGAGACGGTCTAATCAACACCCTGAGCGCGAGTCAGCGCGAGATTATTGACCCGCTGTACATTTCATTCATTACAAGTCTGGATAATCTGCCATCTTTTCTAAAATTGCATTCTTTTACGCCAACCTCGAAATCTGAGACTTTTGAGTCGCAGCAGTTCTTGATACAGTGTGCAAATCTGCAAGTGTCGATGCATTGTTTACGAATGGTCATTGTACAAAAGTTTGAGCACTTGGCATATCTCACTGCCGGCATAGAGCAGACAGATCTTCAAAAGACGGACATTGTGAGGGACGCGCTGCGGGTCATACATGAAGTGCCATTCTGGGCTATTCAAGTAAACGGCGAGCCTTATGTAAGTCTTGCGTAGGATAATTCTCTTTTTTAAACTATAGCATCTGCTAACATGTTTACAGGTAGAAAAGCTACGATTGATTGGCGCCAGCTTAATGGCGATAATTCATCGGAATCCAGATTCGCCCATTGCGGCACGCGCTCGTGGGGACTTTGATATTTTGTTGGACGTTTTGACGAGGCTAGATTCCAAGGCGTCTGATGCACTTCGCAACAATTCTTCTTGGATATTGTGAGTGATGTTATTTTCTGACCAATCTGTACTCTATTGATGTTTTTCTCTGTTCAATCTCTGTACTCTTGTGACGACTTTCAAGCTCTGTACTCTATTGATGTTTTTCCTGTCCAATATCTGTACTCTTGTGACGACTTCAAGCTCTGTACTCTATTGATGTTTTTTCTGTCCAATCTCTGTGCTCTTGTGACGACTTTCAAGCTCTGTACTCTACTGATGTTTTTTCTGTTTAATCTCTATACTCTATCAATGACATCTTCGAGTGCAGAACCGAACCATGCTCAATCAATAGATAGCTGTCTTTCCGCAATCAGTCGTTGCAGTAGCAGTGCCGACTTCTTGGGCGTTCGCTCCAATGTGTCGTAGTCTGTGTATGTAACACCAAATCTCGGACCAAAGCCGTCGGACCATTCTATTCCATGTCAGTTGACCAACTTCATCAAGCAGTCGCAAAAAAAAATTAAAAAAAAAATTCCTCACCGAGATTATCCATCAAGGACCAAGCAAAGTACCCACTGATGATTGACCCGTCCCGTCTTGCTCTGCCAATCGCATCCAGATGGTCTTTAAAGTACTGAATACGGAATGGATCATTGATCGACTCGCTCTTGCTCATTTTATCCTCTCCTGGGCAAGGACATCCATTTTCCGTAATGTAGATGGGCTTTTGGTAGAGATGATGTACCCTGGTGAGATGCTTTTGAAACATTGCCGGGCACGATCGGAGCCAGTGCACGCCGCTCTCTGCGCCTACAGACTCTCCCTTCTTGTTGGTCTGGAGCTCGTCAACGTGTCCCAAGACGTCGGTCTCCGGCGCGGCTCCTTGTCTGTGCTTTGCAAACTGCGACGTGTAGTAATTCATGCCGTAAAAGTCTGTTTCAGCAGCTGCGAGCGCCGCGAATTCTTGTTCCGAAAAGGTAGGTAAGCGACTGCCCAGCTGCTTGCGCATGCATTCGGGATAGTCTTTTGCCAAGCTTTTGTCAAAAATGTCAGTTTCACTAATACTTGATTGAACCTCTTGAATTGGACTTACAAGATGGGATTCGCAAACCAGCCAATGTGAAACTCCATGCGACGCTCAGCCGCTTCTGCGTCGCGACTGTCATTTGCGTCCCACGGCTCGTAGTAATCCCCATTCAGCGAGATTCCGATTGTCCCTCCCTGATGTGGACGAAAGTCTTGGTTATAGGCAATGACTCCACGAGCATGGCTCATAATCAGCGCCTTTCCAACAATCCAGGGCTCTCTTGAAGTGTCGCCTTCAGTGCACCGAGGGTTAGTGCTGCTCCGTCCAGGAGCATTACCTCCGGTCGCGTAGCCCTGTCATACAAGTTCCATATTCTGTTAGCTTTTGATGCCCTACGCCCCCAACTTTTGTATTTGCACGTACATATATGGCTTGGATCCAAGGCTCATTTATTGTGATCCAGCGTTTAACCCGATCACCAAACCTTTCGTAACAAACTCGGGCATACCTCTCGAAATCTTTCTGGACTTCCTCCACATTCAACCATCCACCGTAGCGGTCGTGCAGTGCTTGCGGCAAGTCCCAATGATAGAGAGTAACCCAGGGCGTAATTCCACGGCGCAAAAGGGAATCGATAAGTCGGTTGTAAAAGGCAATGCCCTCTTCATTGATAGGGTCATCTCTTCCCCCCAGCGGTATGATGCGTGACCAGGCAATGGAGAAACGATATGCGCGGGCTCCATACTTGCTCAACAGGTCAAAGTCCTCTTCGAACCGGTGATAGTGATCACAGGCAACGTCGCCATTGGCATTTTTTGTGCGTGAGGGTTCAAGATGGCAAAACGTGTCCCAGATGCATTTCCCGCGACCACCCTCATTTACCGCACCCTCGATCTGGTAGGCCGCCGTGGCAAACCCCCATTCAAAGTCGGGCGGAAGAGCCGTGGAAGCCATTGCAGTGATTCTATCCCGCGACTCGTCCCTGGTGAATGTAGCAGTAGAAAGTTGCTCGAAACGGCTCGCGGGAACAACATCTTTAGGCAACGGCGAAATATATATATATATATATATATATTTAGCGCAAACTTTCGGGCCGCTGTTGGGATGATCAGCCTAGTTAGTGTCAAGTCGGGGGGGCGGGTCAACTTTGCTGCTCGAGGTAAAGCGAAGCTGTCTCGATGACCGGCTTTTTAATTCTCCGATGTTTCGGTATTAGTTTTACTCAAGTGGTTGTATTTGCATCTATACCATACTATTAACATGGCGTTCCGTGCCCCGCTGGTGAGCCGAGCTTTGAAAAAAGTCCCATTCTCTAATACTCCGATTCTCCGACGCGTGGTACCCTAAGGCCTCCTCTTAAGGACATTTGTGAACCCCATGGGGAGGGAGGCGCCCGCAAAACGTTGCAAGTCCATCATCCGGGGTAGAAAACTCAAGATCTGAATCATGTCGTCTGGGGTATATAATTAGTCGCAGGGCGCCGTCATGGAGCATGCGCTACCACCCTGATCAGAGACTCGAGCCTCATCGTCGCCCAGCTTCCTCCACCTCATCCAAGGCGTGGGAAAGATATTTCCCGGCATCAAGGATTCCTCAGGGACCCGCCTCAATTATCAATCTTGCTGCAGGATAGCGTATATTGCATAATGGCTCCCTCGGCCGCCCATGCAGTGGATAGCATCATCCCGGTACTGGACTTGAGCTCCGTGCCGCCGTTCTGGCGCCGAAAGAATGGGATCCTCTTGTATTTTCTGCTCACCTCGTCCCTCCTTGCCAGTGCAGCATTGGGCATAGATGGGGTAAATCCAGTGCTCATGTCTGAACCGCTCAATCAAAAATGCTGACCCGCCGCTTCCAGTCAATGACCAACGGCATGCAAGTTCTGCCTACCTGGCAGGAGCAATTCGGCCACCCTACAGGATCCAAACTAGGATTCTTTGGCGCTGCCAATGCGATAGGTGGCGTCATTCCATTTTTGTTCCTCAACTGGATCGGAGATAAACTGGGCCGTCGGTTGCCCACAGCACTGGGGTCCGTCGTTATCATTACTGGTGTTTTGGTAGAGTTCTTTGCCACTTCGCTAAACATGTACATTGGCGGCAAGATTGTGCTCGGGATTGGATCATCACTGATTCAAATGGGAGCTCCAGTTCTCGTGACCGAGCTGAGCCACCCGAAAGAAAGAGTTTCCGTCACGACGTTTTACAATACGTCCATTGTTCTGGGATACGTCATTGGGGCGTGGGCCACGTACGGCTGCTTTCGCATTCCGGGATCCTGGTCATGGAGGCTCCCGACTTTGATCCAGATTGTGCCTTCTGCGTACCAGCTGCTTCTCATCTTTTTCTGCCCGGAATCACCGCGATGGCTCATTGCAAAGGGACACCCGGACAAGGCACGCGCGATCCTTGTCAAGTATCACGGCGAATGTGATGGTGGCTCGCAGCTGGTGGACTTTGAGTTTCGGGAGATGCAGCAAGCTCTGGCAATGGAAAGCGAGCAAAACATGACTTGGAGAGACTTTTTCTCGTCGACGGCGAATCTAAAGCGAATTGCCCTCTGCTTCGCCACTGCCGTGTTTAGCCAGAGCTCTGGCAACTTGCTCGTCTCCAACTATCTCACGCAGATTCTCAAGGAGACTGGGCTCAAGTCCGACAAGGACATTACCTTGGTCAACGGCATGGTCACCTTGTGGCAATACATTGTCTCTCTCAGTGTTACAGCTTTGGTCGACAAGTTTAAGCGACGAACCTTTTTCCTGGTGGGCTCTGGCGGCGTCGTCGTGACGTTTGTCATCTGGACAGTGGCCGCACAGCAGTACCTCGAGCACAACTCGCTCGCAGCAGGCCGCCTCGTGCTCGCCTGCATCTTCTTCTTCCAGGCCTTTTACACCTTTGCCTGGACCAATCTGGTGGTGACGTATCCGCTCGAGGTGGTCACGTATCGCATGCGCGCCAAGACGTGGGCTTTTGTTCTGTTGACTATACAGGTTGCTTCCATCTTTGGCGGCTACGTGAACCCCATTGCTCTGGAAAACATTGGCTGGAAGTTTTACATTTACTACTGCGTCTGGGTTGCGGTTATATTCCTGACCGTCTACTTGTTCTTCGTGGAGACGGCGGGCCCGACTTTGGAGGAACTGGCCAATCTCTTTGAAGGCGACGGCGCTCGCAGAGAATTCGCCGAGAAAGCTACGAAAGTAGCGCGAGTGGAGAGAGACGATGCAGTGGAAAAATCGACAGTTTAATTGTGGGAATCAATGTATTATTTAGCGTGCAATTGGATCTTTACTTGGCCATCATCGTCTTGGCTAAAAGTCGGGAGAAGCCGAGTAAGTATGTATGTATGTATGTATACAAATCGTTATCCCCGAGAGGAAAGGAAAGCTTGTATCCAGCACCGGACCTCGCTCCTCGCTCCTCGCAACGGCAGATCCGTCATCTGCTATGATGAAATTTCTCAGACGCAAAAGCTAAATTGTTAGTCTGTGCAGCAAAAGTCTTCCAGAAGAAAATGTTGCAAGGCTAACTAAGAGTTGGCAAAACTAGTCAACTAGTTTGTTGTCGGCAATTGACCTTGGGGGCCTTTTCTGCACTGGATCGGCATCTGATGCCTCTGCCAAACAGGGGGGTTACATAGCTAGGTAACTAGTTACTCAGTATGTAGCATGAAATCCCCTCAACGCCTGCGAAACCCCTCATCAATCCAACTGTTTACCTTGTTAGTTGCTGCCTGGTATTAGTGGACAACCCATTCTAGCGCGTCGCCCGCGTGCACTACCTATTTATTAGCCATGCAACCATGGGTCAATGGCACGCCACTCCCTGATTAGGGAGTCGGGAGTTGGTGGGATGACCCGGAAAGTTGTCTGGCAAGTGGCTTGGTGGCATCCTGTGTGTTGATTTTCGGCTTGAGGCTTGCATTAGCGTGCTGTCGAAAATCACCAAAAAAAACTACCTAACGCCGCATCGGACGTCCCGGTTTTCTGATTCGGCGATCCGTTGCCCATTTTCTTTTTTCCAATTCCCACTTGTCGGCCCGAGCCAAAGTGTCCATTGAAATTCGAAGGCGTTATTGGGGCTTCATTGGAGCGGCTCAATGTCAAGAAGCAAGGGGGGGGGGCTTCTCAAATGCCGCAAGACTGCCGGACTCTTGTCCGCATTCTCTCCAGATTTATCAGGTTAGTTGGTTAGTTACTCGAATGCAACTTCTCAGCCCCCCGCACCCTCTTTATTGCCCCATGGGTTCCCCGTGATGTTCAATGTGTGGAGTAAATAGGAGTAAAAAGTGTGAGCGAGCGCCGCCGTGGTCCCGTGTGTAACAGCGGAACAGCGTAATACATAGCGCAGCGCATCAGTCAAGTTCCGCACAGTAACCTCCTCACGCTATGATGTATAAAAGCGACCCTGCACCCCCAACTAAATTCGTAGCCTGTCCGTGTCTCACTGCAGTCTTCCTCCTCCTCCTCCTCCTCCTCCTCCTCCCCCCACCTTCCTCTCACCAAACTCTCCGTTCTTTCGCAGTGCGCTGGCGCGCAGGGGAAACTCATCAATCAGTCATGGCTCAAGACAGAAAATCCTCCTCAGTCGCCGCCGACATGGAGAAGCCGCACATTGATGCGCTCGAAATGGTTCAGCATGGCCCGAGCACTGCTGATGTGGACGACTTCATCGCCGAAATGGAGCGCGAGCTCGAGGCTGGCGGCGGCTTGGAAACTGGTTTCTTCCACGTCAACTTTGCCAACCCCAAGCACTTTACCTGGCTCTTGGTTGCCTTTGCCAGCATGGGCGGTCTTTTGTCAGGTCTCGACCAAAGTCTCATCTCGGGTGCCAATCTGTACCTGCCCAGAGATCTCAATCTCTCTGAGCGCCAAAACAGTCTCGTAAACGCGGGTATGCCTCTCGGAGCCGTCGGCGGTGCGCTCATCCTGTCGCCAACAAACGAATGTTTTGGCCGTAAATGGGCCATTATGATTTCCATTTTGCTCTACACCGTCGGCGCAGCTTTGGAAGCTGGCTCAATGAACTTTGGTATGTTTCTTTTTTGAGATGTAACGCCAAATTTGTTCAATTCTAATGCACGCCTAGGCATGATGGTTGCTGCTAGGGTCATTCTCGGAATGGGCGTTGGTCTCGAGGGCGGTACAGTGCCTGTATATGTTGCCGAAACAGTCAAACGTCGAATCCGAGGTAACTTGGTCTCCTTGTACCAGTTCAATATTGCCTTGGGAGAGGTTTTGGGTTATGCAGTTGCTGCCATTTTCCTCAAGGTGCCGGGCAATTGGCGATATATCCTAGGCTCTTCGCTTCTGTTTTCGACTGTCATGTTCTTTGGGTAAGATCTCAGACATTTTTAAAAGTACAACGAAGCTGACTGTTTTAAAGTATGCTATTTCTCCCGGAAAGCCCTCGTTTCCTCATGCACAAGAACAAGAGGCTGGACGCCTTCAAGGTCTGGAAGAGAATCCGGGGCGTCGCCAGTGCCGAATCAAAGGAGGAATTCTACATCATGGCATCCTCGGTCCAGGAAGAAGACACTGCTGTTCAGGAGGGTGCCAAGAACAAAAATTACCCTTGGATGGACTTTTTCACGTAAGCTGTCATGCACCATGATGACATCTGCGTCGAGGGCTAACATGCTTGTGAATAGTGTTCCTCGCGCTCGACGCGCGCTCGTCTACGCGAATATCATGATTATTCTCGGGCAAGCTACCGGCGTTAATGGACTTTTATATTACATGTCTGTTCTGATGAACACCATCGGTTTTGACGCAGATGATGCAAACTACATGTCCCCGGTCGGTGGCGGCTCGCTTTTGTTGGGTACCATTCCTGCCATCTTCTTGATGGAGACTTGTGGACGCCGTTTCTGGGCTATTATGATGCTGCCTGGTTTCTTCATCGGTCTCGTTTTGATTGGCATTGCGTATCAATTCGACCCTGCGACAAATTTGAAAGCGACCGAGGGCATCTACATCACTGGTCTCATCATTTACATGGGCTTTTTCGGATCTTATGCCTGTTTGACATGGGGTATGTTGCGTATACCAAAATGGCTTTTCTTTGGCTAATGCATGCTAACATTGTTGTAGTCATCCCATCCGAGGTCTATCCCACCTACCTTCGAAGTTACGGCATGACGACATCCGACGCGCTCCTGTTCCTGATCTCTTTCATCGTCACCTACAACTTTAGCGCCATGAGGGATGCAATGACACCTACGGGTCTCATGCTCGGTTTTTATGGCGGCATCGCAGTCATTGGCGAAGTATATCAGATATTCTTCATGCCCGAGACCAAAGACAAGACTCTAGAGGAGATTGATCTTGTATTTTCTCGACCAACAATGGACATTGTCCGCGAGAATTGGCAGGGTGTAAAGGAGACAATGTATGACGTGTCCCGGGGAAGGTTCCGCAAGGTACTTGCCGAACAGACAAAGAGGCGCAAGGCAGCAGATGGTGTCAAAGCTTAGAGATGATAGGGAGGAGGGGCAATGGTTTATGTAGCTTGAATTTCAAATACCCTTTGACGTTGCGCGATTCACCAAGTCGTTGGGGCAAGGCAATGCATCATCTGTGGCTAAATGGCTACGTGCGTTGTCTGTCTGCCTTGAGTTGCACATCTCGCTCTTTGCAACACGGGATGCAGTGGCGTTGCTTAGACTCGGCGAAGCAAGACCACTAATGTATGATTGGCTTTGTTGGCGTGGCGAGACACTACTGTCATTAATAACGGGATACTCATGCTTTACCAGTGAGTAACAATAACAGGTATTTGCTTGCGCGACTCTCACATGCATCCCGCGGCAGAAGAGGGGGATAGGCTATGAAAGTGCAGTGATGCTGAACCATGTTGCAGCACATGCCCGCACATGTCATCCCACGCCAACAGCTGCTCCTCGGGTCGCACGTTTGTTACGGAAGAAATGGCACATTTGGCAAAGCAGCAACAAGTGGCGTTGGCGGGAGCACATGCTCTTGATATTGCGCCAGCGGCCCGAAGCTAGTTCAGACGTTTCCGCCGAAGCTCCCCAGGGCAGAGTAGGGCTTTGCTGTGACACTGATGGAGAAACTCTGGTCGCTGAATAATATCCACCACGAGCTAAATAATGCGCAATGTTTGGTGCCTGACAATAACGTGGCAGCGGCCCGACTTGCTAGTGGCTCCACGGTCGCGGTTGGTTGGTTGCGCCAGGGTCAAGTCTGGTTTTTGTCATAGTTATTGAGCACAACTACGGAATAACTTGATGAGCCCGTCAACCCGTGTAACCGCAGGCCTTTATTTGAGGCTTTTTTTTCGGTTACCTGCCTGTGAGAGGTCAACAGGTCAGTACTCAAGTACCGACCGGCGTGAGGGGAAAGGGCCAGCAAATCATGCGCTAAGCCACAGGGGGCTACGGGGGCGTACCACACGGATTTGTAAGTGAACTGGCCCCCATTAAAATTGCAACCTCTGTTGCTCTGGTGCCTTTTTGCCTCTCACCTCTGTGCCTCTGTGTGTTGTAACTTGTGTGTGTGTGTGTGTGTGTGTGTGTGTGTGTGTGTGG